GACTTTCACCAAAAGAATCAATAAAGTCTTCATCTATGACAATACATCGTCATTTATTTGTTTATTTATATTTTGTATTATTTATCTGAATCTGCAAAGTAACTAAATGTATCAAATACATGTAGTGGATTAAAAAGTACAAGTAGTGGAGTAGAAGTAGAATACAATGGAAATACACAATTAAAGCACGAGTACCTCCAAATTTAAGTACAGTATTTGAGTAAATGTACTTAGTTACTTACCACTACTGCTTTAAAGTAACACATAAAGATGACACTAGTTGTTTACTTGTAATATGTATTCAAATAACAATGGCAATAGAGCACGTTCACTGTTCTGTGAGGTTGTTTTAAGTATACAAACGTTTAGTGTAGTTTAGGTTCAGATGTTTTTTTGTAAATGAAGTGAAAATCTAACTCTTCTTTAGGCTGATGATAAGGTGTTGGCCTTGGCTGATTGAAAGTGTGCAGCAATGAAAACCGAGAGAGAGAAGGTGAGAGAAACCGAGGAAGAGGAGAGATCCTCTTTAGCTCCAGCTCTTGTTATTTTAACCCAGATTCAGCACTGAAATATGGCCACCATGTGGACTCTCTCAAGAAATGTGGCTCCAGTGTTCGGGGGTCCAACCAATCAGAGGAGACGCGGCCATCCAGGGGGGAGGGACTTAGGGGAGGGTCCGGGAGACAGGAGTCTGAGAGAGAAGCATTAAAAGTGTGTGAACAGAGGAGGAGAGTCAGGGCAGAGGAGCCACATCTCAAGGAGAGCTGGACTATCCAAAGACAAATGGAGACAGGTTGGACTGTTGTTTTAATTACCTTATCCTGCATTAATTCCCTCATTCATACTAACTGATGTGATAGGATGTAAATATAATGTTTAAGGTCTGAATCACAAGCTCCAGGATGCTGTGCACATGTGCAGAAGTGTTTGGAAAGACTTCTGTTATCACTATTAGAGTAATCCTCCTTAAATAACAGACTTAAATCTGTCTTTGAACTCCTGCAAAAGAGCCACAAAATAATATAAAACCAGTGTTTGTTGCTGCTGTTTGACATCCGACTATGTGGTTTCTCTTTGAGCCGTTATGAGACCAGAAAGTGTGACTGGACGAGTGTTTGTCGTCCTCCGTGACCAATCGTCTCCTGCATTCCCTTTCAGTAGCTGCAGGGGCTTCTCATTCAAACAGATCCTCACAGATTATAAGCGCTCCCTTTGTTTTAAAATTGCTTCCCTTGTTGGGTCACATGAGCCAAGAGGCTGGACAATGCAAGGGAAATTTAAATGAAGAAGCTGTTTGCCGTTGGATAATATTTATCCGAATGAGTAGATGCTTTTAATCGTTGTAGAAGCACATCAGAAACTCTCCGTAAACTCCTCATCCAGCTCTGAACAAACGCTCTCCATGGTGACGCGTTGCTCCGGTCGAGGCTTGTCTATAGACATGTAGATTGTTTCCGGTCAGTGGCAGCGTGGAAAGGCGTTTCCTGCTATGTTGTTGCTGTGATAAGAGAAAAGGCTGAGTGGACACTTTGAACAGCAGTTGTAGTCGCAGCTGAAAGGGGATGGCAGCGTTGGTCCTGACTGAAATATTTCTAAACTACTATTTGATGGATTGGCATGGAATTTGGTGCAGATGTTCATGATCCCCAGAGGTTGAATCCTAAAGACTTTGGTAATCCCCAAACTTTTCCTGTTGTGCCACCATTAGGTTGCCATTTTTGGCTAATAATGACATGTCTTGACAATTACTTGATGGATTGCCATGAAATTTGGTGCAGGTATTCATGATCCCCAGAGGTTGAAACCTAAAGACTTTCTTCTGACTTTCCATGAGGTTTTGTGTGACTGGTCATCACAGCTATAGAGTGCTAAAAGTCCAGACATGAGATGAGATGAGATGAGATGAGATGATCTCTGCAGGAATCTATGAGAAGAATTGACATGAAATTTGGAACAGACATTCATTTCCCCCTTAGGATAAATTATAATAACGTTGGTGATCCTCTGACTTTTCTTCAGACCCATCGTTTCAAATTTTGAATACTTTGGTTTATGACCGAATACCTGCTGTACTTTCTGTCTCGCACTAATTAGCAGATATTAGCATGCTAACACGCCAAACTAAGACGGTGTACATGCTAAACATATCTGCCAAACATCAGCATGTTAGCGTTGGCATTGTTAGCATCCCGACATCAGCATTAAGCTCAAAGCTTCAGCTGTAGACTTGTTTGTTTCAGTGTGCATTTTAATGGTCTTCCTTTTGCATCTTTAACAGACCATATATTAGTTGTTATTCAAGATGAGTAAAGCCTAGCTCACTCTTTGGGGGAGCATGTGTCAGATGGCTGGGAGTCTCATAAGTGTGTGCATGCATGTGGATCAGCATTGGGGGTCAACGGGGTGGTGGTTGCAGTCTGAAGCTTGTAAACTCTTCTGTGTATGTATAACGAGCCTCAGATAATGCTGGTCTCCCCCCCGGGTTACTCCCGGAGTATCAAGGACATCATAAATCCACCTCGAGCCTCACATATGTGGACTACCATGCTGCGCTCTATCTTGGGAAACTTGTGTTCTTGAAACAAATCTGTCTGTCTGGGCCTCTGTTGTGACAAATACCAGGTACATTAATAGAACCAGACTTGTTGTGGATCTACTAACCCACATTCAGCTCTCGGCAAACTGAGACCGGCTAGCAGGCACGTGATGCAAACATACTGCAGCCGAGCAAGGTCAGAGGTTAAGTGTCCGGGTCTTCAAAGCTCCATATCTCCCCAGCTGGTTCAAATTGTTTCAGCTCCAAAGTGTTTTCCAACAGTATTCCTGTCAGGGAGGAATTAGCGTTCGCAACCGGCCGGCAAATGCTTGACCCCAAAGCTGCGTTTGTCTTAAATCCTGACGTCAAACACAAGTCTCGTCAAAGGACTTCTGGGACTCAACGGTCTTTTCGTGCGAAGCGGGGGGGGTTAGGGGTAGGGGTGGGATGAGTTTCAAAAAGTCCAGCCAGTGAATGCGCTCCTGCATCTGTTCACGGTGACGCAACGAGAACAGTTTGTGATTCATAAAATTAATTTTGGTTTCAAATCCTCAGAGGCGGCTGTCTGTGCCTGTTCTTATGATGTCATCTGTCCAAACACACTTGACGTTAGCTCACTCACACACACACACACACACACACACACACACACCGCCCTGTGCTGTAAGAAACCACAGATCAGAAGAAAGGGTGAAAAAAAAAAAAAAGAACTGTTGTTGATATCTCGACAGGTTGACAAAGATCAAAGTTTGTGTGACGCTCTAACTCGCTCACACACTTTGCCGGGACGTCCCACAAGGGACGGCCGTGGCTCCAGTGACCCGTTGCTTTAAGGGGCTCGACGCGAGCGATGGAAACCTCACAATGCGGGCGGCATACGTGTCAACAGCAGGCCCCCGGATCCCTCTGCTGCGCTGCCAAAACACTGGTCGGAGAATGACTACCGGAGTCCCAGGAGGCGGCAGAAAAGAAAGAAAAGAACCAACTGTCAGCTTCGGCCCGGAGCTGCATTTATAACACACACACACACAAATGCCTGTATAAGGCTTTCAAACGTCTGCTTTTCAATGTATGTTCTGCTCAAATTTGTAAATATCTCTCATAGATAAAATCTCATAACTTAAATAGAAGTAGTGTTTTGATCTCTCGAGATCCTCCGGGGATCCTCAGGGCCTGAGATAAAGGATGATGAAAAGGTTCTCTATCATCCGTTTACTGGAATGTGTGTTTTTACTTTGTCATCGGAAAAAAAGGCGTCGCTTCATTTAAGGAAAAAACTTCATACAAGGTGTGAAAATGAGGCCCTTTATTTGCGTGTAATTTTTGTATTAGTGAAATAGGCCGGTTTATAACTCAGTCAGAGACACTTACGTCAAGGACTGGACATTTTAAAGCACACGGTTATACAATGGAAAAGACTTATTTCAGTGAAGATCCCAAGAGGAGAATTCAACTTTATTAATACAGCGCCAAATCAGTTATCTCAGAGCTCTTTTCTTGAGTTGGCTTTATTTAATGAACCAACACCATTGGCAGCTTCCTCATTGTACGTTGGTGTCTCTGACTCAGCAGTGCAGCGGGGTCGATGTCACTGAGGTTATCAGCAGACAGCCGGACAGGCCGCTGTGTTATCAACCGTCGGCTGACCCCCGGGTCATCTGAGTGGGCTGCTTGATGAGAGTCCTCCAGCTTGTTTTTCCTGTCTGTTCTGCATCCGCTTCTCCATTTTAAACCCTAACTCACCTTCACCTCCACGACATGCATAATGTTTTTCTAGTTTTCATCTTTGCAAACTCGGTCGCAAAGCAGAGTGCCCTGATCACAAATCCTTTAATGTAAACACAGCGAAAATAGAAGAGGCCCAGTTCAAACAAAAACATCCCCACACAATTAAACCTTCTCCTGAAGATCCCTTCCTCCTCTCTCTGCTGCTCCTCCACACTTTCCTCGTTCTGCTTTGCAGAAACAGGAGAGCTGCACTTCCTCAAATAAAAGGACTGACTTAGAGCTTCTTTTTATACATGCAATTACATTTCTTTTTTATGCACGCAATTAAATCCCTCCGCATGTTGTTCTTGTCCCTGTTTTATCTCTTAGGTGTGTCTGATGTGACGCCAGCGGGCTGGCTCAGGGAGCGCAACCTCAATACAATGTAGACGCCAAAAACCAGACAGAATAAGAGTCTGAAGACCGAGCCGACAGAAGGAGGGCGACTTCAAGGAGGAGGTAGAACAGCTGTGGGACGAAACGACACCGGCCAGAAGATAAGAAGCAAAAGGAGAAGCAGAGAAGGAGAAAAAAGAGGGAAGCTGCAGACTGTGATTCTTTGACGGGAACCCTTTGTGTTCAGCGGCGTCGCCTAACTCACTCACCACAAGTGCTCACTCGCCCTCGCATCTCCGCCGGAGAAGCATCGCACCCTCAGCTCTCGGGTCTTTTGAAGGGGCCTCCCGCGAGACTCCAGCCGCCGTCAGCATGTGCCATGTCATTGTCACCTGCCGCTCCATGCTGTGGACTCTGCTGAGTATCGTGGCCGCGTTCGGAGAGCTCATCGCCTTCATGAGCACCGACTGGCTGGTGGGATTCCCCCGCACGCCCGATGCCGTCTTCGGCCCCCATGGGGCCACCGCGGCCGGAGAGGCCTACAGGCCCACTCTGGGCATCTACGGCCGCTGCATAAAACTGCCCCACCTGAAGCGCGGAATACTGTGCGGACCGTACGCGATACACTTTGGGGAGATTGCCAGCGGGTTCTGGCAGGCCACGTCCATCTTCCTGGCGGCGGGGATCCTGCTGCTGTGTGCCGTGGCGTTCATCTCGGTCTTCACCATGTGCTTCCAGAGCATCATGAAGAAGAGCATCTTCAACGTGTGCGGACTGCTGCAAGGGATCGCAGGTGAGCACAGATCTAATGATTACCTTTAGAATTTCTACCGTGTTAGATTAGAAAACAGTATGCATATTCTTCCGGGACAGAAGGTAGTAAACAGACTCAGGTTTGTGTTATTGAACAAATAGTCTGAAGGCGCCAGTATAGTTCATCAGAACTGCTTGTCGGATGGTCAAACCGCTTCAGAAATGAATTGGGGGGTCCAATCCGTCAATCTGACATCCGCACCCGACTTTACTGATTTAAAGAGAACAGGAATCTCGGAAGCCAACTCGGTCCGTCTAACCTTTAATTGTCTCTCTTCATTCTTGCGGTGTCCGATGTTCATCAAGGTAAATTAAAAGTTCTACTTTCAGCCGAACACGTTCATTACGAGCACCACAGCTCCCACCGCTAGAATGATGTTTGATTCTCACTGAGCCCTCTGTGAACTTTTACCCCAAGATGGTCAGAAGTTTTTCTTTTTCTTTTTTTCCACCCACGGAGCAACTGCCACCCAAATATTTACTTTCCACCCAGTCAGATGGAGACTCTCGATCCCAAAACAAAACGAGTTGAACGCGCCTGCGTATCTGTGTTTGTGTGTGAAGAGTGCGTGTCCTTTGGTTGTGGCCACTTTGACTCAGCGTGGTGAGTTATGGAAGGGAGGAGGCCATGAGATCATGCTCGCTGAACCTCCTCTGTCTCCCACAGCTCTGTGGTGGTGGTGGTGGTGAAATGGCCGTCCTCCCCCACTGTTGTTTATTTGGTGCAGGCCCAAACAGAAAAAAGGTGGGCGTGTGGTGAAGGACATGCCAAGCTGTAAACTCAGCTCAGTGCGGCCCTGCTGACCTGAGAGAGCGCTTAAATCATGTCTGCCGGAAGGCTCTCTCTGCTCCATAAGCCTGGAACAACTTAATGTGAATGTTTAGTCAGGACACAATAAGTTATTTCTTTTAGTAGGCTAGTTAGATTGAGTCAGATGTAGGGTTCAGACGATATGAATTTGTAACTTCCTCTTTATTACTGCATCTCTTAGGTATTTGTGTGCGATGTTGTAAATCAATGAGCAGGACTCCTTAAAGCCAATATTAGATTTTTTTGATTATTTCCACATACTGTTCCGCTAAAGGAGCACTAAATATGCTACTTTTGGTTCAGCTTCTGAGCTATAAGGAGGCGAAGGAGTTTGAACACCATGAACTATGAACACCAACAGCAGAGAAGTGAATCATGTTTTTTTTATTGCTGTGAGTTTCTATTGGGTTCTATTGTAATTGTGCGAATCCAAGCAGAGTAGATGTTTGCTGCAAGCAATGCCAGACTTCAGTCTCCTTTCAAGTCGACAGACGATCAATAATTAACAGATTTTTTTATTTGGAGTATAAGTTTGACTCTTGTTCTTACGCCTGTCAAGCTTCCCGTTCTCGCACCAGCAATTTTTAGTAATTATTTTAAACAATCTTTGATTTTGGGGTCTTTTGATGACGGCCATCTACTTTGTCATCTGAATCTTATTTCCTGCAGATTTGATCAGCTGTAGCTAGCTAGCTAATTAATGCCGAAACCTCTGTCTCTACTAAGTTTTTGACTGACTCGCTTTGACGACATCAATGCAACTGAAATTGCACTTGATGGATACATACAGTACTAATATAATATAATATTCTAATTGATAACTCTGTTCAGAAAAGTGTAGAAATGGAGTGTACTCATAGCCCAGCATAGAGTTACATAACCTGCATTTATATTTACCATCTAAATAAAGCTCTGGGAGTCTGGCTTCAGTAATGAAAATGGGGAAATGCACCGCTGAGTCTCCTCATTGTGAGGACGATGAGGAAGAGGAAAGGGGGCGAGAGAGGAGCTTCAAACAGCTGCTGAGGAGGCAGGAGGGCTTCCTTCGTTGCCTGTGGAGCTGAAGGCCGATAACCTTTCACTCATTTCAACCGCAGGAAGAGATAAGATGGAGAACCTGACATCCAACAGTCTTCACCTCTTTCACCTAATTTCATCCTCGCAAACTGTTGGCCAGCTGGTTTGAGCACCAAGCTGACCGTAAACCCCAATTGACCCTTTGCTAAGCCCCGCCCCCTGCTGCTACTCCATCAAACTGTCAAAGCTACGTTACTATGGAGCCCACACTGTCACTAACTGCACTCTTTGAAGAAGTATTATCTTTGGAAAAAACAGACAGAAGGGTCTACAAAATGTGAAGGATATATCCAGGATGTCAAACTGATTCAGCAGCTAAAACATGTTTAAAAAGATAAAGATAGAAGCTAAAGCAACACTTCACCTGAGACAGAAAACAATAAAATTAAGGAACAACAGTGTTCCTGTAAAGCCGGGTAGGTCTTTATTCACTGTTACAATCATGTGTATACATTCAGTATACCTTCAGCAGCTAGCGTAGCATCAAAGTGCTAACGCATTTAACCACGACTAGCGCCAAATCCCCAAAATTAGCTTGAAAATTAATAAAATCTAAAACCGTTGAATTAGAGTCTACGGAGCAATGCCGATTAGTAGTCGGAGTTGGCAGATTTTACACTATGATTGGCCAGTCTGCTTTTTGGGGGCGGGACTTCAAAGTCCAAAGAATGCTCCTAAAACCTGAATAATACAGCATATCCTACGTGTCTTACATCGGGAAAAACCCTGTATCAAATTCTGAATATCATCATATTCTGAATATAAGTGTGCATGTAAATGTAGTCCATCAATCAGTTCAGTGTGTTCTGAGAGTCCTCGGCATGTCTTCTCTCAAAGGCCTACGAATGATATCACTCTCGCCGATATCCACCGGCAGCGCCGCACCACACCGACTCCCCGCTAATCACTATTTCCACTCCTCGTGCCGACCCTCCGCTGATGAGAAAACTGAAGCCAGACTCGCAGATGTTTGGAGGGAAGTGATTGACCTCAGATGGGAAGATTGTGATGCCGTTGCCAGGGGATGGTCACGTCATTGCACTGGAGCCTCCAAAAGCCCATTAACCTAATCTGCACTCGCACTGATGTCACTTGTACTTTTTTTGCTCTTTTGTCCCCTATGACACACTTTCTGCCGGCCAGAGTGTCTCGGATGTCATTAAACTAGACTCAGTTTCAGGTGGTTTTAAGATTTCAGCTGAAGGTAAAGCCATTCCCTTTGCTTTACGTAATCGAATGGACGATCTTCAGTTGAGGGTCACACTTTGTATCCTGCAGGCTCACATATGTAGAGCCCCCTAAAGGCTTCTTGTAGACTACCGGTGAGTGAATTCTCTGTACATTCATTGAAACACCGTCCTCACTCATCATCACTCGTGTTAAACTTCAGCCAAGAAGGGATTAGAGACGAGACGGCAAACAAACTCGGCCGTAAAACTGTCTCAGATTCTTGTTGCCTTCAGGTGGTGAAGGCTTTTATTACCGGCCGTAAACTTTCTCTTCTAGTCGTGAGTCACAGAGCTTGTCACAGGTTTAACCGTTGACCGTGACTCAGCTCCAGGCTGGAACCAGGGGTAAACAAAAAACAAAATGTTTTACAGGAATTGAAGCAGCGTTACTGTGTCATGTTGATTCTGACTCGAGATAAGACGTGTGACGCAAAAGAGTGAAACAGAACGGCTGACTTTGACTGATAAGAAAATGGGATTCCAATGCTTTTACTAGCTTTTACTGGATATCTGTGTTTACAATGAGGTTTGGCCGTTTCATAATTACTAATGAAGAGCAAATGGGAAATATTAGGAAAACCTTGTTGTTTACAGTCATATATCTGTAATTCTACAATGGGTAAATAATTAAATCATTACTTCTTTAATTAGGAAGCCAGCAGCTGTTTTAAGCAAATAAGCTCTTAAGAACTCACCGACCACGACCTCAGACTACCAGGTAAACCAGTTGAAAAATGAGTGAGTATATGCAGATTTTTTAAACACGGAGAAACCTGCTAAAAATAGGCTAAAGACTCCTTTCCCTTTGCCAGTAGAGGAGTATACCTTTCTGATTTTATTCCGGTGTTAACTTTCGACGTCTTGGACACACCAGAGGCAGGGTTAGTAACCAATGAAATTGTTTGAATAATGTGTGTTTTAGGATTAACGAGGTAAAATTACTGTTTCTGTCAATGGAGTCTAGTGGCTTTGAGTAGCACATTTCTTTTCACATTTAACACAGTGAGTTAAGGGTTTATTTCGACCAAACCAGAGTTGGTGATTGTTGGAACAGTGGAAAGACTAACCAAGACATTGTTAATGAATTTTATTCTGTTTCCGTGGAGTTTGAATGAGCTGTGTTTCAATGATCAACGTGGTAAAATGTTCTCTGACTGGAGTCTGGTGGCTTTGAGGAGAGCATATTAATGTTTTGTACATTATTATATTTGTCCAAACATCTGTTGATTTTATTCATTATATATTTACTTTAACGCTCAAGAGTTGGTGGAGACCAAAACAGAGCTAAAGGTTACCTTAATTTGGAGGCACCTGGTGAGACCTCCACCAAGGCCATAAAGACCAGCCTCCTCTGGTTGTGTCTCACTGGTTGGCGGGTTGTTGGATGTGTGAATAAGTGACTTAGCTTAACATGTTTGCCAAGTCAACCTCAGAAGGCGATGCTATGTCAGTGCCGTGTTTACAGCTTGGTGCAATAAAAAGTCTATAAATAGCTTTAAGAACAAATAATATGCAACAAGACTAAAAGTCTCCGGCCACGTTAAAGTAGAGCTTTGAGCTGTTAACCTGATCTCAACATGCTCTCAGTTACCAGTTCATTAGACACACCTTGCTGCAACTAGTGCACTGGTTCAGACATATTGTGGGGTCCACAAAATATTAGAAAACAGCTGCTATTATAACACGAAACTGTTTAACAGCAGCACAAACTACAGCTTCTGAAACGATCATCACGCTGAGTCAAGAGCCTCTAAAAGTGAACTTTGTAACCTTCATGAAAGTAGGATTTACTGCAGGGCTGCTGTCGTTAAAGCCAAGAACAAACTGGCAACTGTTTGCTTCTTATATAAATTCAAACTGTAGGTGATAATGAATAATAATAATAATAATAATAATGAATATCGAATAATAGAGAAAATATTGTTCAGTATTTTACTTTGCCCTCTCGCTGTCTCTTCTCCTTATTTTTGTCTTTTTTCCTGGAAAGGAAAAAGGGGTTGCCAGATTTGAGTGCAGACCTGCTGTGCTGTATTACAGGGTGGAGGCTGTGGGAGCAGGGGTTAGAAAGGGGGGGGGGGGGGGAGGGGGTTTGGTGGCAGGGAGGCATGGAGTGATGGGGGGGAATTGACAGTTTGGAAGTTAACGGAGACAAGAGCCAGTGCAGAGGGAGCAGTGGGGTTGGGAGGGTGGAGCGCAGAGGGATATTAGGTTAGAAGGTCTAGCTTGTGTGTGGGGGGGTGGGGGTGGGGGTGGGGGTTGGGAAGGGGGGGGTCTTAGGAGGGGTGGAGTTGTGAATTAAAACCATACCTTCAATCCATCACTGGAGCCGGTCTGGACGTCGAGGCAACATGTGGAAAGAATTTATGACCTAGTTTTCATTTCCTTGTTTAATATGATATTGGGTGCTTTTAAGAGGGAGAGAGAAAGGGAGGAAGCAGAGCGAGAGAGAGAGAGGATTAGGAGAGAGGGAGAGGAGACGGTTTCACCTCCACATTTGTTTTTTTGTTTTTATGAAGCAAAGCAGCGAGACCTAAACGTTCAGACTGAACCTCTCGTATCCCCGTCTGGTTCATTTATTGTCTGTAATTGTATTATTGTAAACGTTTCCTCCTGAGCTCCGATTGGTCGGCTCAGCTGCAGAGCAGGAACCTCGTGACGTTGAATCACTTGAAGGCTTTATGGTTTTAGTTGATGTGTAATCTATAAGGAGAGCAGAATGTCACAGTGCTGGAGGAAGTACTCGGATACTTTACTGCAGTAAGAGTAACAACAACAACAGTGTAGAAATACTCTGTTATGAGTAAAAGTCCTGCATTCAAACAACAAAAGTATTAGCATCAAAATATACTTTAAAGAGGACAAAGTAAAAGTACTAATAATGCAGAACGTATATTATATTACTGGAGTATAGTTATTGATGCATGAGCTCATCACTTAAATGCTGCAGCTTGTGAAAGAGTTTAATTACTTTATAATTGGATTAGTGCTGACGCAGGGAAAGAATTTCCCATGTGGTAATAATTATTGTCTCAACAGTGCAATATGCACTATTATTGGCTTTATTATTATTATTGTCATAGAAATAATCATTATTGTTTGGCTATAATTAGGTAAATTGTTTCTTTTCAATGAGGCTGTATTGCAAACAAAAAACAATAAAGTTTCATTCATTTGTTGATTATATTTTGTATTATTAATCTCAAATAACTTTAGAGGAGAAGAAGTAGAAGGAAGCCGTTTCTTTCCTCTGGTACTGAACTCGGGTCCCGGTAGTAGAAGGGGTTCAAAGTGAGACAGGAAGTCATTCCATCCAGGACGCCTGGAGGGTCAGCCAGAGACCGGAGCAGGGGGGAAAGCCCCTCATAGACCTCTTTCCTGTTGTTCTCCGACCCGACAGCCACGTGGGTCAAGATTCCGGCTCAGGGTCTCTTCTTTCCTGCCTCACCGGAGGCCTCGCTGTGGTTCTCTTTACTTGCGCTTCATCATCTCGGCCTGACGGGATGCTTTGAATGCCGCGATGGCAGGAAATGTTTTTCGTACCAGAGAACGGTGCCGGTCCCTCAGAAACACAAGCACGTTTGCCTAAAGACGGGGATGTTTAATCAGACACGTTGGTTGAGAACGAGAGGACGGTGGTCTGTGTTAACGTGGAGGTTATTCAGTGTTAAACGTACCGCTTCTGTCTGATTTAAACACTCTGGCTGTGAAGCTAACCAAAGGAAGTTCTGTTTAGCTTATAGACCATTTCACAGATGTTCCAGTTTATTTCCTGTTGCTGTGTATGCAGATGACATCAGCTGACAGGAAGTAAACATGGACCCTCAGCTGTTGGGCCCCAAACCTCTTTGATTTCAGCGTACTGTAAATATAGAATTTGGACGAGGAAACGTAGAACCAAGCCAGCAGGAGAAATTAGATTTTAAAAGAAACGGTAGTTATTTGCTCTCATCAAAGCCACCAGACTCCATTGACAAAAACATTTTATTTTACCTGATCATTGAAACACAATATCTCGTTTGATGTCGATATTTTCAACGTATAAATAGTTTGGCAACCCCTGAAATACGATCACATTCTATGTGTGATTATGTCCTTTAGACTGTCTCTAGTCCCCATTGTACCTTTTTAAAATCTTACCTCAGGGTCCAGGAAAGGAATTTGAGAAAAGATTTCTATTTCTAAGGTCAAGAATGAACTTTCTTGCTCGTTTCACGTTGTTTGGCGCCCTAATATTTCTATGCATATTGTATTTTAATAAACGCTCCCTCTCTTTTGTTTCCCTCCTCGCAGGTCTGTTTCTGATCCTGGGTCTGATGTTGTACCCCGCCGGCTGGGGTTCGGACAAGGTCCAGCTGTACTGCGGCGCCGACGCGGCTCCGTACCAGGCCGGGCTCTGCTCCATGGGCTGGGCCTTCTACACCGCCATGGGCGGCACCGTGCTCACCTTCGTCTGCGCCGTCTTCTCCGCGCAGGCCGAGATCGCCACCTCCAGCGACAAGGTGCAGGAGGAGATCGAGGAGGGGAAGAGCCTCATCTGCCTCCTCTGAGAGGCCCAGACACTTTTGTGTAGAAGAAGAAGGAGAAGGAGAAGAAGAGCCACCTGCCCTTCTGTCTTTAATAAGGCCGACCTGTGAAATGGAGGCCCCCGCATTGTTTACCACTAAAAACCGACTCTTTGTTTGTCTCCGTCTTGTGTTTACGTGGGAGAAATCTACAAGTGCCAAGTTCTTTCTTTCCTCAGTGTTTGTCTTCGTGTTCGTGTTTTAACCGTGTGGACGCCCAGAGAGGCGTGTTCTGTAAATAAGTGTGATGATATATATATTTTGTACATAGTGATGATCGCAGAATGATTGGCTGGGCTGATGATGTCACTCTTGCCTTTTTTTATGCCACCAGACCACGAGCAGCCGACCTGTTAGCTGTCTGCCACGTGTGAGTGTTAGCTCAACAAGGGAACCACTACTCAGTCAGAATAAACTACTCGGAATGAACGGCTCCAGCTCAGAGTGGACGTCCTTTTTAGAAGCTTACAGAATGTACTGTCGTCTGAATCGTTTGTTTTTTGCAGACTCTTGAAATGTATCGACGGAAAAAAACGAGTATTCGCACAGCTTGCACGAGGACGATGAAGCTCCGTGGTGCGTTCTGTTTGTCCTCTTCTTTCTGCAAAAAGAAATCCTGATATGAAGTGAGCTGGACCCCGTGCAGGGTCCCCGTCTGGTCCTCATCCAGCGGACGTCCTGTAACCTGTGCACAAAGACATGGACATGCACGAGGAGGACGTGAAGTATCGCTGTTTGTTAGTGACGTCTGGTTTCAGGGAGTCTATGGAGTCGTAGCTGGTGTCCTTCTGCCCAAACGAATAAAGAGAATGGAGAAGAAAATGAGGTTTCAGTTCTTTATACTGTGGAAGCAGTAACTGTGGGGAGGAGGAGGAGGAGGAGGGAAGGGAAGGGGAGGAGAGGAGAGGAGGAGATGCAGCAAGTGGAGCAGCCAGCTTGGTGCTGAGACCTCGGTTTGGCCCTTGAGGTAGGGGTGGGTACTTTTTCCAGCCAGCGGGTGATCAGTTTTTCCACTGATGCAGAACTCTGTGTGTGTGTGTGTGTGTGTGTGTGTGTGTGTGTGTGTGTGTGTGTGTGTGTGTGTGTGTGTGTGTGTGTGTGTGTGTCATATTCAACTAAGTCAAAGTATCCTTATACACCAAGTTCTTATCTCTTACTTACTAAAAAGTTACTCCTCAGTCTTCCTACAACAGTCCAGCAACACGTGTCAATTTCCGCTCCTTACAGTCCTTTCAAAATAAACTTCCGTCTTCACAGGAAGCAACTTGGTTTGTTTCAGGCAACAGAACTACTTTAGTGAGGTTTAGGAAAAAGATCGTTTAATACTTAGTTCAGGAAAAGATCATCGTTTGGGTCGCACAAAGGACAAACTGAAGTACAAAAGTGTTTAACTCCAATACTTATTTGACAGCTGTAGTTACTTTTAACATTTAGATTTAAACAAAGAAGCACATTGTTATGTTTGGTTTGTGCCCCCTTAAAAAAACAATGTGTATTTGTTCAATGTATTTAAAAAAGTTAGAGGAAAATTCCCAAAATTAGTACAAATTAGTATATCAGAACTTTGTTTCTTCTTCTCTCCCATTAATCATCTCATGATCCTTCAGATTTATCTGGTGACCCTTTGCAGGGGCCCGACCCCAAGGTTGAGAACCACTAGACTAAACTAACTGATACACAATCGGTGAGATTGATGCTTTAAAGGAACGGCGTGATTTATGGTCTCAATCTCTAGTTTCAAGTCTTCTTCAATACAGCACGATGTTCATTTAGTAAGTTATGGTCCATTTACAGTCAAACATACAGTATATAATAATGTATTTAGGGCGGGGCTACCTTGTGATTGACAGGTCACTACCACGGCGTTGTCCGGTGTGGGAGTTGTCCGTGCTTTCGTCTTATCACTTTAACTCTTTCACTGTGTTTTCACTTCATGAAAGTTAATGGTGACATTTTAGGTCGTCTAAAAATGTCTTCTTCAGTTTAGCTCCACCCTCTCGTGTCATCTCTGGTTCCGAAAAAAACAAGATGGCGACGGCCAAAACGCTGAACTCGAGGCTTCAAAAACGGCGGCCCGCAAACCAATGGGTGACGTTGATGACGTGAGAGTGAACCAAACATGGTAAAGTTGTGGGCCGGACAGATAATCAATGAGCTGAAACTCACTATGAAGCTCCGTGAAGCTGATATGACGCTTTCACATATTGATATTAGATTATTATGACAAAAATATTGATTATAACCACCTAAAGATGTCCCACCTCCACATCGTACCCCAGCTACCAAACACTGTAACTTGTTTGTGTGACTGAAGAGCCCCCCCCCAGCTGTTCCTCCCTCCATGCAAACTACAGAGGAGCCTCTGGCCCGACCCTGTGGCTCCTCTCCCCTCCAACAGCACACTCCAAAACTAAACACATCGCTTGATGACTTCCAGATTAGGCACATGACAAATCGTGCAGTCTGAAGAGAGCAGCAGAAGCTCAAATGCCAGAAGTTTAAAAGAAAGAAAGATTTTCTCTTTTTATCGTATGAAGAGTCAGAGAGAACAAGGACAGACGGCCTTTTACAGTAAATTTAGATTTAGTAGAGTTCCACAAAAACCTTCTGTGATCATTATCTTTTGTCTTTTAGGACATGGGAAATATATTTAATTTCATATTTTATAAAGCGATTGTGGCTCACATGTCAGCATACAGCAGCTAGTTACATGTGACAGCCTGGATATTCAAGTGGTTAGTATTCATCATCAGTGCAAATCTTTATTATTGTTTCCCCATCATGCAACACTGATTTCACTGATAATCACACTATCATTTATTGGCTCTTTTAGGGTTTATTATCATCTTAATTTAAATAAATAATATTTGCCTTCAGTCCCTCTCTTTCGTCATGGCTTCGTGACATTCAGCATTAGAGGTTTGCAACTATTTGAATAACCGACCCTAACCCTATTCACCTGAACTCATCAGCATTAATCTGCATCACATTTAATCTGGTATTCTGATGACTGCTGACCTCGTCTGGCCTCCGTCAGCCGGTGCAGCCTCACTTCAAACCGTTTACTCCACAGAGAGCTCGTCTCGTGTGCGCCACATACAGAACACGTTTAACTTCATACAGAAGAAGAGTTTTATTCAGTGTTAATACAATAAATATACAAAACTCAAAACTACTCAACATGCGACTGAAGTCAAACCAGAGTGCATCTTTAAATCACACAAATTTCAGAGCAAATAGCCGACCGTCTGGAAATCGTACAAAATATACAAACATCCCTCACTATGGATTTCCCAATAATTTAATAATTGTATAGTTAGAGATGCTTATGGATTAATTGTCAGTGATTTCTACCACATGTTGATCATGAAGCACAGCTTAAAGCCCATCTACAGCACGTCACACAGTTCACGTTGCAATCTAACGTCTTTCTCACATTTAACATGTTTTATTTAAAGCAAGTCAAACAAAGTAACAGCTAAACACTGTAAGTGCCACTCGGTTTGATTCTTTTGGAGGAATAATCTCCTGTTTTGTACTCAGGAATACACATGCACTGGTTCAAATGAAGCCAGTGTGAAATACAAAAAGGAGAAGTGAGCAAAAGAAGGCATGTTGCAGGAAGCTTTAAAAAAAACAAAAGAAAGTCTCCAGGAAGTCGAGAAGGATCCCAGACCCACAGCCAGACTCTGCCCTGCGCACAGATTAAGACTAACCCCCCCCCCCCCCCCCCCCCCCCATCCACTCCCCCTCTACCCCCCCCCCCCCCACCCTCTATTTACACTCCCACACATCAAATACACACGAAGGCTTCACTGGTTTCAAACATGAGACACAACAGACGCATTCAGACCGCTTTGCAGACATGAAGAACGTGGAAACAAACGGACACATTCAAAGACATTTCATCAGTAAAATGCTCTCATCTGTTTTTAATGACCACATACTTTAGACCTAAAAAAGGATCACCTTCAGATTTGATTGCTGGAGTTCAGTGATCGTCAACGTGTCAAATTATGAATACGCAAGCAATGATCAGAACACATCAACGTTACCGGCCATCATCTTTATATATATATTGTTTTACAGCACACGTGTTTAAAAACAGTGGGCCAGTTAAGGGTCCGATTTCATACATATCATCTTTTAACCTCGTCATGCAAGTGAAGAGTACATCCTGAGTAGAACTGAGGTAAGTCTCCGGCCACACGAGAAGAGCTGGAGACGAGTTTCCTCTTCAGAAGACAAGCTGTAGAAACATGCATCTATACAGGACAGAGGACCTCCTCACTGTCTGTTAATGGGGTCAGTAATTCATCTACTCCATGTGAAGACTAGGCTGAACTCAGCTGGTGAATGTGACATGAATTAAACATGGAGAGTAATGAGCGGGAAGGCGAGCGGCCATCGTTATAAATATCCTTCCATTTGCACAGATTACAGTGTGCAGACAAAGATTTAAAGTGCAACTTGGCGTCCTTTCACAATAAGATATGTTTGACCGTTATGGGCAAAAGATTTCAAACAGGAAAAAATACTCGAGAGTAAACTTTAAAGTGACAGTTCACCCCAAAATCCTAAATAATCTTTTGTGTATCAAACAATGCTCGGGGGCGTAATTAATTTGACAATCGATGAATTACTGTAGTCATTGTTTTTGCTGGTGGTGCTTTGAGCTAAACGCTAAAGTCGGCGTGCAGACATGCTCACAGCGACGATGCTAACATGCTATTGCTAAGCAGGTATAGCGTTTACCACGATAACCGTCTAACGCGCCTTCTTCACAGCCAATAGTTGTGAGGAAAGGCGCTGAAAGGAAAAGTCAGGGGATCCCCAAAGTCGGCATGATTCATCCTCTGGGGACCATGAACACATGCACAAAGTTTCACGGGAATTAATTCAATATCTGTTTAGATTGGAATATCTTTTCAGGAACAATTTGAATACATTTCCTGGGATGATGAGGTGTTTGATATACTTAACAGATTTTGGGTGATGCTTTAAGGAAGTAAGACTACGCGCTTTCAAAATAAAAGAAAGTAGAAGGCAAAAGGCAGTGAACTGGAATGCACAGCATTCATCTTCAGCAGTACATGGTCACTCCACCGGGGGGCAGCAGTGTTACGTGATGAGCTCGTGGAAAGCAGCAAGCGTGCGCTAACAAGACAACTAGAGAGTACGACGTGACTTCCACTTGTCCGGTGATGAATTTATCTAAAAATAGAAAGCGGTGATTAGGCTGATGAATCAGGAGAAAAGGCTCACAGGAAGCCATTAACGCTGCGGAGGGATTTTAGTGGGAAATGCCCAGGTGACGACGGAAAGAGTCGGACTTACATTAGAATCCTTCTTCAGAGGACGGACATTTGAAGACGCACGCACGCACAAACGCACACACACACACGCACACACACACACACACACACACACACACACACACACAGAGAGAGAGAGACAGAAAATAAAGTAGGGTACGCTGGTCGAGTGGCAGGAGTGCAGCGTGGGTGATGAGAGCCGCCGCCCTGTTTGAATACTGTTGACGGCGGTGGACTGAGATCACGTTTGACTGGATATTGTCAGAAGGCTGAGGGTGGGGGGGGGCTCTCCATGTGTTCAAACAGGACAGTTGGCTCTAGTGGAAGCTGGGTGTGAGCAGAGGAGGAGGAGGAAGGAGGAGGAAGGGTGGGACGGAGAGATGAGTGAGCTCTCTGAGCCAATCAGATCTGCTCCTTGAAGCCCCCTTGTGCGGCCCTGGAGGCGGCAGTAGCAGCGGCCGTCTGGACTGTCTTGTTGGACATGACGCCCGTGGCGAACTCCTGCTGGGCCTTCGCAAAGCTGGCGCCGGTGGTCCGGTACATCCCGTGGACCTGAGGAGGGCGAGGAGAGATGCGTCACAATCAACTCCATAGAGACGACTTATGATTGACTTGTGACGCTAGTTCTGAATGTTTTTGTTCCTTACTGTTACGTCAGCTCTTTTGTTTGTATTACCTTTTTGAACATGATGAGGGACAGGACGGCCTCTGCGGTAAAGAGGGCAGCGATGAGGAGCATTATGATGCCCACTGGGACGCTGCAATTCAGGCCGGTCAGAGCTGAGATCCACCCGCTGCAGAGGAGTCATTACAAGGAGGAAATGAAACACGACTCAGTCCTGCTGTCAAAAATCCTGTTTGAGTAACGTTTGCTGAAAGCTACGGTGTCCGGCTGTTTGAGGTAATTACTGAGGCTTTTTCAAAATAAAAGCTGACATATTTGTTTTTGGGAAGTCAGAAAATACAGAGAGACAGACCAACACATTGTTGGTTCTGGTCTTTTCAGTGACTCCTGCTCCATGTTTGAACTTGAAATGTTGTCATAAAACACACTAGCGCTGCATTTAATCAGACAATTATATTCTCGATTTAACGTTTGGTCCATAAAACCGTGAAAAATGCTACAAATCACTATTTTTGTTTACAGCCCAAGAAGATTCTTCCAAAGCCCAAATATATCTAATTATATATATCTCGTTATATATTCACATTTAAGAAGCAGGAGCCATCACGCGTTTGGCTTTATACAATAAATCAATTATGATGATTGTTGCAGCTCTTAAAACACACATTGCAATTAAAGACCACGTTAAATGTCATGACATTGCTTTCTCCTCTAGGTGGTACGACTAAACATTTAAATACACATCGCTGTGTTCCTCCTCGCCCTGGTTTCTCACCTGGTGCCCCAACTGGTGATGCCGATACACTGCAGCACGTAGATGCCAAACTGACAGATGTACACGAAGAAGAAAGCAAAGAACCGGAACGAGCTGTCGATCCTGCAGGACAGAAAACAGACAAACGGGGTGTAAACAACACGCCGGTGGAGTCTTTCATCTGTTTGTGCGAGGTCAAAATACTTTTTGTGTACCTGAATGCTCCATAAAGCGGTCTGTACCAGCAGACGAAGGAACAAGGCGTGAAGAGGATGAACCAGAGGATGGACAAGCCGAAGTCAACACCGCGCGTGGCGTCCACACAGAACCAGGCCAGGCAGCCCACCATGTTAGCGAGCAGCGTCCCCGTGTGAACTGAAGCACGAGGACAGGAAGTAGCTGGATTAGGGATGCACGGTGACAGCGACGCGTCCTCTTTATCGGACAGAAATGAATATTTTATCCGACGTGACGCAACCTTCCGAGGGTTGGACAAGTTCGGGTACGCTTATTAGAAAATAGATATTTTGTATTTTCATAATATACGTTAACACAGGAGGAGACTTGATGTTGTCTGCAATTACGTGGGAAAAACAAGATGTGCGTATATCAGTACCAATCAAAATAAGTTGTAAAATGCATTCTCATTCATCCCTAATGTGGATGAGCTGGATGGTGTCACTGTCTCCGTCAGAGCCTGTAAAGTCGGCTGTTTCCCAGAGTCCAGTGTCCCGACGCTGCTGCACGCCGACTCTTAATATTTCAACATGCAGCGCCGTGCACAAACCCATTCATTTAATAATTCATTATTACCGTCTGCTCTCGGGGTCCTAACATGTGCCTGCGTGGTTAAAGGCATTGCACTACCTACAGAGTGTGAGGCTTTTACATCTCAGTGTGGAATATGACACCAGCCTGCTCGTTGACACACCAGAAAGCGAGATTCTTTGCTTTTATCTGAGACTAAAAAGAAAGCGTCTGCTGCTCTAGTTCTGCATCTAAAGAAACCTTTAAAGCAATCATCTGACCGAGTCACTCCATGTGACCACATGACTGCACCACGTGACCTCATCATGAGGACGCTGAGGGCCTGAAGCCGCTCGCTCCCTGAAGCCCAGATGGACATTGTAAATGTTTTTTAGGTGGTAGAGGAGGAGAAGCAGTTGCTCTTATTCAGAGGGTCTAATGGAGGTTCACTGGTCAAAATAATTCAGTATTTTGATGAAGAAATCACAGGAGAAAAAAACAGCTCGGTACTTATTATTATTATTAATAATAATAATTTCAGCTCTAGATGCTTGTAAGCAGATTATTTTGGGCAAATCTTGGTTTAGCTCTTCTTCTTCACTTTATATTTGGGTTCATTCACTTCCTTTCAATGCAGCAGACGTCCTCAATATTTGTGGGTCAACATAAGAAATATTTAATAAAAGTAATAAAAGTAAAAGCCACTCACACATCCAGAGGTAGTACATGATCTTCACCGTCTTCTGAAACTCTACAGGAATGTCCACTGTGATGTCGTGATAGAAACACGGGCCCACGGGGAACTTCTCCGGGAGGGGGGGCCAGTTGTTCTTCTTGCCTGGAATAAAAAAAACAAAGAAGAAGAAGAAGAAGCGTGAGTTCATGTTTCATCATTTGTCTGTTTTTAATACACACAACAGTCTACAGAACATGTGGTTATTTCATGTAGACAATCTATTTATTGCATTACAATAAAACATGTAATATCCTGAAATGCATCGTTATCACGGTATGAAATGACATTTCTGTATGTATTAAAACAACAATGTGTGTTAATTAGCGACAGTTAGAGGTGCTGGTAGGCAGATTCTTTTAACCTTTTGAAAACAGTGCCGGGCTAGCTGTTTCCCCCTGCTTACAGTCTTTATGCTAAGCTAAGCTAACCGCCTCTTGCTTCCAGCTTCGTGTTTACCGTACAGACATGAGATCGGATCTTCTCATCTACGTCACACAATAAGTTGTGCTGGACCTGATGTCATTTTGAGCCTGGATTTAGAAACAACATCATTTCTCTGATTCTGACCTCCTGAAGCGCTGAGTGACTGCATTTCTCTCTCCCGGCGGTCCAGCTCAGCAGCCTTCTTCTCCAGTTCCTCCTGCCTCCTCAACAGCTCAGCAGCAGCTCCGGACTGATCCTACACAAACACAAACACACACATATATATATATATATACTGTATATATAAAACAAATGTCAACCACAGACTGTAGACAATACGTGTACTTAGTCACCCATTGTTTGGTGGACTGCGGTTTTGAAGCCTCGAGTTCGGCATTTTGGCCATCGCCATCTTGGTTTTTGCAACCAGTGAACAGAGGTGACCATATTTGGACTGAGGAGGAGTGACGTAAAGTTACGTATATGTCAATCACCATGTAGCCCCGCCCTAAAGCATCCCCTGCTTTATGGTCTGTTTGACTCTAAATGGACCATAATGTACTAGTTGTGACGTCACCCATTGTTTGGTGGACTGCGGTTTTGAAGCCTTGAGTTCGGCATTTTGTCCGTTGCCATCTTGGCTTTTTGCAACCAGTAAACAGGAAGTGACCATATTTGGACTGAGGAGGAGTGACGTAGAGACGCCCGTATACGTCTCTGGTTGAGACCTGTCAATCACCGTGTAGCCCCGCCCTAAAGCATCCCCTGCTTTATGGTCTGTTTGACTCTAAATGGACCATAATTTACGAAATGAACATCATGCTGTATTGAAGAAGACTTGAAACGAGAGATTGAGACCATAAACTCATGTTTACAATGTTTACTGAGGTAATAAATCAAGAGAGAAGTAGAGTCATTTTCTCATAGACTTCTATACAACCAGAGGAGTCGCCCCCCTGGTGGACAGTAGAGAGAATGCAAGTTAAAGTCACTTCCTTAGAGCTAGAGGTTGCTGCTTGATATAAACACACTGGTACACACATAAGTGTGTGTCGTGTGTTTTCTATGATCATTTGTAATTCTCTGATTCTACTTTTGGAATAAATCCAATTCTCTACAGGGGCGGCAGCAGCAGCAGCAGGAGAGACTTCACAAGAACTTGTTCCCAGGAGCCGGACGACAATTGAGATGCACCATCACATCACAAGTTGTTTCCTCCAGCTGCCTGGGTTTCTCTCTGAGTCTGTGTCTCCCTCAGCAGCTACACAGACAGCAGGAGTCTCCTGCAGAGCTACTTTCCTGTCCACAAACTCGGCATGAACCAAACAAACCAATAAATAAATAACGTCAGCGTGGTGACGATGTAGAAATGTCACTTCTCAGTGGACCGGCCAGCATGAAGAAAAAAAAAACAAGGCAGCATTTATGGCTGTGTGAGGTCAGTAATACCTGCGGCCGAGACTGCGAGTAGGCCGGAGGCTCCTCCGTGGGTTTCATGATGGCGGGTTGTGTGTTGATGGTGGGCGCCGCGGCCTTGGGCGCCATACCCGGAGGCGTCTATGGAGGAAACATAGTTACTTTTCTCAAACTGGTGAGTGTCTCTTGTAATGCCGGCCTTTTAAACAGTAACAATACAAAAACAGAGCTGTAACTGGCAACAGTATACGCACTGTTTGCCTCAAAATGACTTTATTAATGATGCTAAAATCAAGTTTAGTTGAGGGTTTTATTCAAGTATGAAAAAAAAGGAACGTTTTCATTTAATTCTTCAACACTTATTTCATTGTGATTAAAAATACATTTAAAAGTAAAAATTAGAAAAAAAATGACAATTTATTTACTGTAATTACAAAATGTAGTTACAAAACTCACACTTGTGAAGATTTGTGTGTGAATCCTACAGTATGGTGATAGGAGTGATTTACTTATTTATCATTTTACATAACTCTCACGGCCATCGCATCACTTGAAAGTCAGATGGATCTCTTAGAACTAAATGAATCCTCTGAATCCTGTTCATGTTGTTCAGATCTATTCGATGCATGAAGTCGTTGTTAAAGTACTCACTGGTTTGGCATCTGTGAAGGGATTGTACTCCTCCAGCCCCGGAGGAGCCGCCTGTCGTACTTGTGTCACTGATGGATCCTGAGAGAACAAGAACACTTTCAATAAACTGTCGAAGCTTCATAGAAAAGTAGTAAATTACTCAAATTTTTGGTATGAGAATCGCTCTTCAAAATGTTTATCTTTGTGTTTTCACCCCGAGGACAGCAGTGGAAATGTAGAATAATGTAGAAACCCTCCATTATTCTGTCAGCTGAAGGCCAAACAACCCTCTTTATTCAAAATGCAACAGGCCTATAATTCAATACCGGCAAAGACGGGATGATTCCAATAATTTTCATGGGAAGACGTCTATAAATAACCAAGTACATGAGTTTCAGAAGTAGAGGGGGAGGCGAACGCTTCTGGCTGCTGAAGACAGAAATAAAAAGAGAGACTTTGAGTTCCTCTAGCGCACTGCTGAAACACTGTCTGATGCTTTTAGGCTTAAGAAAAGCAAAGTCAAACAACCTTAAACACACGAAGTGAAATCAATGATGACGCTGAGACATTCAGGAAAAGCCCTTCATTGTTCAGCCTCTTTCACGGTGACACACGAGTGAGACTACGTTTACTTATGGGGTGTTTTCCACGATCGGCTAAAGCAAACTAGTTCAGTATCTCCTGCTTCTATTGAAAACTAACATTCCACCAGTTAAGCAACATTATCACACGTTTCTTTTTTATCGTTAGCTTACCATCAGCGGCCGTCAGTCACACATGAGTTTCATTCAAATTGCTGCTCAAGATTAACATCCAATCTGACGTTTTCCTGCAGTGCCGTCCTTATCCTGTCTCACTGCAGTCCTCTCGCTCTCTCTCTGACTCTTAAGTTTCTGAGAGCGTCTCTTCCGCTGCCCAACACACACACACACACACACACACACACACACACACACGCAATCACACACAGGCTGCAACTTGTCACCAGACCAGGGTCGTGAATATTGCAGGGTATGTTGTGTTTAAACTTTAATGTCGCCCTATTGCACAGCCAAACAAGCGCATGCATATTCACCACGATTTCATCTTGAAATCTACAGTTACAAAAAGGTGAAAAATCAAATGATCCACCTGTTGCACGTCGGCCTGTTTGAAAACTAGTTTCATGTGAATGGATTTCATGTCACCTAATGAGGCACAAACTCATGTAGCTGGAAATCAAACTGCAGAAGTCCCACTAGCTGATGACCTTTAATCCAACACTTCACCTACTGCACTGCATCTGATGGAGAAGCTGCAATGTGCAACACACACTGCTGGGTCAGAAACCCAGTTCCTGTGCGGTCGCATGTTAAATAAGCTGCTACGATGACACAATGTGATATCTATGCTTCATTATCGGAGCCATTAACTACGTCTGTTTATATTTGCAGCCTACATCAAGTTGATCACGGTTGACAGTGTCGGTTAGTGTGGCAGGTGAAGCGTATGGGGCACAGGTGCAACGGGCCGTCTAATCAAGCATGGGGGACGAGATCGCACGGTTTTTACAATTAACTAATAATTTTGCTGTAAAGTTATTCTTGATACACCCTGAGATTCAAAAACAAGGTCTTCTCCTGCACCCAGCAGAGGAGCTAATCACTGGACAGGAAAGTTGTTATTGTTGTTAATTTCTCTATTAATTAGCCTCCATCCAGAGAAATAGGCCAAAACAGAGTGAACTAGAACAGTGCATTCATCAAGAATCTAGACCGCGAGCGTGACGCAACAGCTACGCTCTGGTTTTAATCCCTGCAGCTGTCTGCACCGGCTCCTTGCAGCTACATGTTGACAGTTTAAAATCACTGCAACCACAATAGGGTCCCGGTGCATTCAGTCATATAAGAGCACAGAAAAAATATTAGGCTGGTGGGTCCAACAGTGTGAGAGATTAGCCGTGGACAGACACAGAGATGCACACACAACCCGAAAACATAGTCTCCTGGCGGAGATAACGATGCACGACTGAGAGTGATGAAATTTAGCAGGAAAGAAGCCAGAGGGGATCCTAGCACCACATGTCGCCCATGACGGCACCATATGACTTCATGAAGTATTGAAGATAGCTCAGAGAAGGGAACAAGGCTCCATTTATCCTCAGGCAACCCAACAAAAAAATAATAAAGAAGTGGGAGCCAATAAATGGCAGAAAAATGGCAGAGCAGCCGGGGTTCACTAGTCATGTCAGTATGTTAATGAAGCGACATGAATAATTCACTTTCCGCGCGTCTGTACGGTCAAACTGTGCCGTCAGCTTCTTCCACCGTCACTCTCACACACACTCTCTCTCTCACACACACACACACACCTTTATAACATAAATACCGTGTTCTGTTTGGTGATGTAGACAATCTTTACAAATCAGTTCTGGTAACTTATGAAGTGCATTCATTTTTCATCGAAAACAATAGGGCTGCAACTAATTATTATTTCTATTCTTAATCTGTTTATTATTTTCTAATAAAAATGCTAATTAGCTGCTTCCCGAGCGTCCATGTTTAATACACCTGATGAGGAACTAGAGAGGGTAGCAGGCAATCTGTGGCTGAAGAGCACATGATCAGATGCATGCTTTCCATTTCCTTTTCTATGACAAGACTCTGTTAGCAGTCTGTAGTTCAACGCCTAACTAAAGCCAACAGCATAACGAAGGCATGTGTGTGAAACATGCATGTTCTGCTCTCATTTATGTCTCTGTTTTGGAAAGATAAAAGACCCAAACTACTGTTTTAATCACATATGTGAAATGCATCTATGCAAGAATCATTCTTTGCATATAGAATGTACATTATAGAAATATAATCTAAAGAAAAATCAATTTAATGTCCAATCAAATCAGGAAAACAGGGTTATTTTAACAGCAGTTAAACTAACAAACATGCATGATGCCCTTAAATGGTCTATAAAGGGTATAAAGACAAGGGTGTAAAGTTGAAACTGAAAGGGTTTAAATAAAACACCCTGCAGGATGGCTAGCACAGACTTTAAGCTAAGCTAACACACTGGTACACGTTACATGTTATGTCACACCAGAGTGGACCAACACCAAGTGACAACACTGTAACTAAAGCCTACCAACAAGTGAATTACGGGTTTCTGCTAACTGCTGTCATTACTAGTATTAAACTCAAGTAGCGTTAGCTTCATCACAGCACAGAACAATACGTCTCCGACTTTGTTCCTTGGCTGGAGTAACGTTGTTGTTATTAACGTGGAATAAAGGCTCGAGCTAATGCTAACGTGGCTAACGTAGCTAGCTGACGTTATACCTGGAACGGGTGGTCGATCTCCGGGTCCGCGAACGGGTTGCTGTCGAAATCTGACATTCTGACTTTCCGTAGTGTCTCAAAACTACAGAAAACTTCCCCACCAAAAACACCAGAACCCCGACTCTCTTTGAGGTGGACGCCAGATAGATGACAGACACACAGACACGGTCCGGAGGTGAAGTGTTGACTGTGACCAGAGATGCTATCGGGATTGGTCACCAGCAGCGGATCACGTGCGATACAACGAAACGCCAGGCGGAAGTTACGTCACCTGCTTTTTAAATTTTTAAATTGTATTCATTTATTATTTTATTCTTCTAAAACGTAACGCCCGTATGGAATCTATGGAAGCCCATTTCTGCTGCATTTCAGCCTCAAGAAAAGAAGAAAGGTAACTAAAAAAATAAAAATAAAAATCCACCCCCGAAAAATAAAAAAAGATTTACATTTTTCTTTTGCTGGCGGAAAACAAGAAGAAAATAAATGATTATTATTATTATTATTATTTTACTTTTTTTCTGCCAGCAAAAGAAAAAGAAAAAAAAAAGTCCCAGTTGCTGTTTATTGAAGGTCTTCACCTCAGCCACATTGGTTTTATTCTTTATACTCCAGAGCTGCTTCTTGCTTAAAATTCTATTCAAGGGTGCGTTTGCTCAGTACAATCCATGTGAAACATCAAGCTATTGAAGTATTTCATCTGTTGTAAAGCCACGTTTAAAGAAGTCTTCAATGTACTCACAATCCATTTATATGTCAAATGTTGGGTAATCGATGAAGAGCTGCTTCTATGACTCATCATTTCGACTTTCTATAGCAGCTGGAAACATCTGGTCAGTGTTATGGTTAAAGATGGATGCACCAAAAGTGTTGGTGCATTTTTTATTTTTTTAAGCTGGTGGAAAGTATATGGAAGCCCATTTCTGCCAGCAAAAAAAAAAAATAAGGTCACAAAAAAAAAATAAAAACACCCAAAAGAAATAAAAATAAAATAATTCTATTATTTTTTTTTTTTTTTATGTTGACGGAAAAAAAGTAAAACGTTTTTCTATTTTTACTTTTTTTCCACCAGCATAAAAAAAAAAAACACTTTTGGTGCATTTTTTATTTTATTTTATTTTATAAATATATTTAAAAAATTAAAAATATATATTTTTCCATAACAATTGATAACTACATATTGTATTTTTTTTTACTCCACTACATTAATTCTATAAATGTAATTACTTTGTAGAAAGACGATTCATAATCCCACATATAATCGTATTTTGATGATTTATGATGTTTTAATGTAGATTAAGAGCTTTATACAGAATTTTAATATAATACATTATGCTGCAAACGTCATTCTGCATACTGAGTACTTTTTACGTAAAAAACGTAAAACGGGTACGCAAATTCTTCTCTTTCTGTCTTCTCTGATAAGAACCGTTGTTGCCCTAGCAACACAAAGTCTCTGGGGGCGTTTCCAGCATAGATCTGTATATTATAAACGGACGTCCGTTTCAAGGCGCTGTATGGGATTAGCCGAAACAGTTATTTTCTAGCCACTCTAGATCTATGTCCCCGTTCTATCATGTGACACCAACTTGTCCAGCTCACACTTCCGGTACTGTGTGTATGTGCAGAAAAAAAAAGTTGGTTGAAATCTCGGAGAAGTTTTGGCTTTTTGCAGGAATTTTATACGCCACACTCGCGTCTCTTTACGTCCATGCGCAGTTTTAAAAGCCGAAGATAACTTAACGTATCAGGGGCACTTTTTGTTTAAAAGTATGTCGACGGTCGCCTTGTACAACGACCAGGGAGGAGCGGAGGCTGCCGTGGAAGGACTGGAGACCTCCAGCACCTCCGGAGCTGCCTTTGGACTCTTCAGCGCAGACTTTAAAAAGTAAGACAGCGTAGCACGTGTTCCGTCCATTTGAGGTGAAGTTTAGACGGTAACGGAGAACTTCTGTATTGACTAGTGTGTCGTTAGCTGACTTCCAGAAGAAGCCGAGCAGCATCATCAACAAGCTAGTCAGTGATGGCGACTGACCGTTAACGCTGACAAAAATAACCTTATTTTATATCTTTTATTGGACATGTTTTGCTTTTCAGTATAAAGTTACTTAAATAACTATGTTATATTCGCAGTTGCCAGTTTATTTGGTACAACTATCTCAAACTAATAGTCTAATACAACATTACTTCAATACATCATACTCTTATGAAGGTTATAACTGTCCTTTGTTGTTGTCAACTGACACAAATATCCTTATTTTAAATGTTTTCTTGGACACATGTTTTGCTTTATTTCACCCCTGTGTTTGCCCATAAAGATAAAGCCACAATTCACAAGATAGTTCAGTATAAAGGTAAATAAAGTGTTATGTTATATACTACCAGTTTATTTAGTACAACTTGCTAAAACTAATAAATAACACTCTTATGAAGGTTATAATGGTCCTGTTCTTGTTGAAGAAAGAGGTTGATATCTATGATAACTATGATCATTTTGAATACAGTGTCACATCATATTGAGAAGTTTCTCTAATATTTTAGCCACTTAATATGCATATAAATGAGGATAAACTAAATCTTAGACACACCTCTAAGTATAAAGCAATATAGTTCAGCAGCACCACAAAGTACAATGTTGAATCTGTACCTCTTTAAAACATTTAACTTCTTGAACTTAAGGATTTATTGATTTTAGTTTAGCAGCACTTTAACTCTGTCTTATATGAATTTATGGTGCTTTACGAGCCCTCGTATGCATGACACAATAATAAAACCACTTAAATTTACATATCCAGAGTTTAAACTACTAGAAACACTTGAAACCCTTTGGACTCAACACACCACATACGTTTCTGTGTGTGTTTTCCAGCTGAAACTGTTAAATACTTCAGAGGAGAAGAAGTTCCATAGTTTCTATATTAACTTCGCGTCACGGTTAGCTCGTCAGAACCGTGTTTAATTAATCTTCTCGCTTGTGTCAAACTGAAACTGGACTGTCAGCATGTTTTTGAGTTTCATGTCAGAAACCTTCCACTGGAGGGCAGCCGATCATCAGCGCAGCCATCCTCTGCGTTTTGTAATTTCCTGTAAACTCAGTGTTTTATGCAGCTTAGCTCCTCTGGTTTATAGAAAGCAACACACCACATGAGCTCCACAGGGGTAGATTGTTAGTGCCCCGTCAGTATTTTAGCACAATATACAGGCTTTTATTTGTTAATTTTAACAAGAAATGCTGGTAATAAAACGTGTGTGTGAGGTCACGCTGCAGCTCCTGGTTTAGTTTTTCAGAGTGATCTCTGCAGCAGGATTTTGTCAGTGTTAAAATGTTGCTGACTATGCTGAAGTGAACCTAATCTGTCTCACATGACCATCTACTCAGTCAGGCATGGCGAGGTCAGATGTTTTCCAGCATCTCGGCCACACTGGGTTGAAAATATAAGGACATGAATGATGCTTCTGTTTGTCTGTCCGACACAATGCCTCACACAAGCTTAGTCCTCCTCAGCGTTTCTGTGTGTTGCATATTTATTAATTATTAAAGCTAGCGTGTTTCAGGATGGAGAGTCTGTTGTGCTTCAGTCAAATCAGGCTTTTGTTATTTGGACCTCCTGAGTGTTTGTCACATGTGAAGAACACGGCAACATTCCTGCACTTTAGTCTCAAAGGCTTCTTCTGACTGGCTCCATGAAACATGTGACTTATCATCTGTGACTAAAGAGATATAGTGGTTTCCTTGTATAAATAGTTGCATTTGAGCTGCATTAAAAGTTAGGATCTAGATCTTCATGACAGGGTTGTTGGGTTTAATTTGGCCTGAGAGACTTCCTCCTTGTAGAAATGAGGCGTATTTCATGTTTGATGTTGGAAAACATTCATTGAAACGCTGCAGATTGACTTGATATAACGTCATTATTCCCCTGCTTATGTTTTGTATTGTTACATTCTATTATACATTTAGCAGTGTGCCATTAAGAAAACACCTTGTTGTAGTATCATAATCCATGAAAAGCTTGTCCCTGCATGTACTTTCTCTGATATCTTTTTTTCTGACTGCTCACCATCACTGCAAACTTTAACAAACTTCCAGAGCGGTGGATCCAAATATTTGAACAAGAACGTGCATATTTTCCCAGGCTTCTTGGCAATGCTCGGCCAAACCACAACTCCAGTTTCTCTGTTATTTCAGAGGATTTAGGAGATCTGTATGAGTTATTCCTTTCTGACATAAAGCAAGCATACACTTTTTAGTTTCACAGTTTCTCTTTTATAAACGCCTCATTTCATGTTCTACTATCAGCCCCTGTTGTCTTTTCTCAGACGCTGCATCTGGTGTTAATTTATCAAAAGTTGCAAAGAGTTTGTCAACCACTGTTTCCACAACTATTCAAGTACTCTGAAATATTCACAGTTTTTTTTAAACACAGGAAAAGCTGCTAAAATGGGCGACTTCTTCCCGATGGCCAGTAGAGGAGTCTGCCTTTCTGTTTTGTTTTTCTGGGGTGTCACGTTCAATGTCACAGACGCATTGAAAAAGTTCTGGAGATCAACCTTGTGAACCAGTTTCATAAAATCCAGCTGTGAACGACGTCTCCAGCTGTTTCTGGTTGTACCGTGAGTCTGTTAAAACTACACGATGAGATCCAAGATACCTGCTGACAACAATGCAGCCCGTCTGTCCTCCACCCTTCACCTGAGTTAAAGAGTTACGCGTGATATCTAGTGACGCTAACTCTGCTTTAATGGACACATTTAGTTGCAGAAACAAAATACAGTTCTTATACGATTGGTAAAGAATCTTCAAAACCAAAAATTAGCATTGAAATACAAGAAATCAAATTATTTTTGTTTTCACAAATATAACATCGTGGCATTAAATGAGATGGACACACAAGTGGCACATTTGTGATAAATATTCATTAGGAAACTGCTGTGAGTAAATGATGTCATAATAAATCTCAGCAGTGATGGAAAAAAAACCTGAAGTGATGCAGACGTTTGGCTTTTTGTTGTGTGGAGAGATCGAGACGATGCAGTGAGGTGTTTGCTATCGCTAACTTGGTGCTGTTTTCACTACTCTTACATTGTTGTTTTGGTAGACAGCTGTTTTCTGCAACAACAAAAAAAACTTAACATATTCAGCAGTTTATGAGACGGATATTTCCTTCTGGAGTTGGTGGAGACCAAAAGCCGAGCTAAAAGAGAGGTTAGATGGCCAGAAAAACATCTTCAAATAAATGATAATGCTGCTTTTTGTCTACTGGATGTCTATGGGAAGTGTTTAGCAAGTATGCTATATCAACTTCATGCTAATATGTCACTGTTGTGTTTAGCTTGTTTCTGTAGCATCCAAGTGTCTCCAAAAAAATCAGTTTGTGCAGGTTTGAACAATAATATATCTTCTGCTTTGTCATTAGGCTGCAAACACGTTGAAATATTGATCGTGTGATGTATTTATCAGCTTGTGAAAGCGACCGGAGTCTCCCACAGAAAGGGTAGGAAGCTGATTCTGCAACATTTACCTCTTAACGGGTGTTTCCTGACATTCAGCCCGGTGCTGTTATCGTTGATGTCGGCCCGTCCTGTTGGCAGAGTCCTGCGTGGGCAAAGTGGATTATTGTGCAGCGGAGGTGATGAAAAGTTGCTCGGTGTTTACCCACCAGTGTAGATAAGGCCCTCCTTCTTTCCCCCTAGAGGGAAGTGACCACAGTCACACAGAGTCACAATCACAGCCGGGAGGCAGGTGAGATATCCGTGTTTCCAGAGGAAAAAACTACACGTACAGCAAGATAAGAGCAGCAACACCATCTGACCGGCAGGTAGTTTCAGAACAAAGGTGGACTACAACAGAGAGAGCAGGCACTACCCTCAAGCATGAGGATGACTTGCCATTAGCGGAGCTGACTGGGCATCTTGTGACTTTTATTTATTTTGCCCAAGAGAAGAGGAAGGGAGCTGTGAATGACAGGCCAGTGGAGCCGGCGCTGCTTCTCCCTCAGCAGTGACAGCTTTTGAACTGTAATCAAAAGCCAAGAGGACAGGGACCACAGCCTGAAGGAAAGAAATGACCTGTTCCACTCCTGAGTTACTTTAGATACAGCCAGAGGGGTTTGTGGACTCTGTTCTTTAGACAGCTAACACACACACAGAAGGAGTTTTTTTTTTTTTTTTTCTTCTTCGACTGCTGTGGAGGAAAGCCGGTATGGATGTTGGTTTCTGTCTCCGCTCGGAGGCGGTGGGAGCCATGAGGACGGCACTGATGTCCGCTGAGAACTTACAGCTCACTCTGAAGACTGAGCTCAGTCAGGAGGAGCAGGCCCTCACTCACACCAAGAGGAGCCCCAAGGAGACACTCAAAGCCGGGTACTGTAGTCAGATCTCCCACAGCCCTGTGATGGGGACTCACCGTAAACTCTCTTTGTTTACCTCTAAGTCTTAGTTCAGGTTGGTTCCTCATGATGTTGCTCAGCTGGATACTAAATGTTGCTTCTCTTTTAAAAAGGAAACCTTAAAAAAAGAGAAAGCTATGTCTCTTTAGTGCTTTACGTATAGATACATTTAGACAAAACAAACTTTAAAATCATGTTTCAGAAGGATTTGTATTGTTGCAAATCATTTTACTTGAAACTGAGATCGAATCTCAAAAAGTATTGCTTGAAGCAGTTTAAATAAGTATAAATAAATCGTACAATCTACTTGAAGCCTTCTATTTATCGTGTAGCGTTATTGATTTATTTATAGTTATACTCTTCCTAACACCGTATTTAAGTATTAAAATCAAAAGGTGTCATGAGTTGATAAATGTTTATCTAAATTATACTCTGGAGACACAACTCACTACTCCAGTGAAGCCATTTTAGCGGTGCGTAGTGAAATTTGTCTCGCCTGTTTTGCGCCATCTGCTCGATCTTTATAGAGACTAACAATCAAACTGTATTTAGAACAAATAGCAATCGGTGGCCAATCAATTGCAGCAACCCTTACTCTGTGAAACTTTACTTAAACGCTGCTGTGTTTTGAGCAAAGTGCTAACGGCAGCATGCAAACATGCTCAGAATGACAATGTTAATGCTGTTGTTTTGCCGGCGTAATGTAAAGTACAGCTGAGGCTGATTGGACTGCCGTTAGTTTTGCAGATATTTGGTCATAAACCAAAGTACGTTGACCCGATTTTGGTGTTTTGGAACAAACAACTTGTGTACAATTAGCTAAGGAATGAGCATTGTCAAAGTGAGTGCAGGAAACAGCAGAAGTTGGTGTGACGCTGCTGTTGCATTGGTAGGAATGACATTCCTGCTTTCTGATTGGCTGCATTGCCAGTGTTCGGCTCCTATAACAATGTTTGATCTATCGGAGCCAATGTGACCCTGTAATCTGTGGAGCTGACACAGATGTTGTGCACACGGAGCTTTCACACCAGTGTTGTTCAAGCTCCTACTCTTGAAACTGATTAGTTAGGTCGTGTCTGCGGTGCTTAGCATGCGTGCTAATGTTGACCATGATAAGTGTGAGTTACACCTTCTTCTTCTGTCCTCAGGAATGAAGACCTTAAAGAGATGTTGGAGAGCAACAAGGAGTCGCTCAAACTGGAGGCCATGAAAACGGTTGTTGGGGTGAGTGCATCGTGGGAATTCACACGCATTCTTTTACAAAACAGCATCGTGTGCGTGTGTGTGTCTTTTCTCAGCTGGATGAAGTTGTTTTGTCGGTTGATTTGTTTTCAGCTGATTGCCAAAGGGAAGAATGCATCCGAGCTGTTTCCTGCTGTTGTGAAGAACGTGGCGAGTAAGAACATCGAGGTACGACGGTATTAAGAAATGCATCATTGCTGTTGTCATAAGTACTGCAGTTGGTGTTTGTGATTCATTTAAATCTCGTGTGACAGCGCGTGGGTAGTCCGAGGGAACTTCCTCTTTCAGAACAATAGTAAGCTAATGTGGAAAGCTTTTTCTTAATTTAGTTTGTATTTATTTAAGTTTTTGTTCAAAGTTAAACATATATATATATATATATATATATATATATTTTAAATAAACAAAAGGTCAGAGGTTCATATAGATTGAAGCCGTCCCTTGTTGTTGGACATTTTCTATTTCTATATATCTTTATATTTCTAAATATTCTATGTTCTATGCCCCTCTCTTTTCCTAGCCTGGATGGTACATGGGTCAAAAAAGCCAAATAAAAACAAAACTAAAACACATAAAAACGATCAGTCATATACATATGAGGAGCGGGGACGAGGGTAATATTCAGAGAAAAAAACTCTGAATTTCCAAGATTAGAGTTTAACTTTTACAAGAAAAACTCAAATATCATCTGAGTTTAAAGTCACAATTTATCTATTTTTCTGTTAAAGAACCACTACCGGTGTCACGTATCAGTGAAAAGGAAATACCACTGAATTGTTAAGGAAATGTCTTTTTGGGTGGCTGGAAGAAAAATGCTGTTAATGACAGATTACATACAGACAGATAACCAAGCTGTGTCAGTTTAGAGGTAAGAAATTCTTCAAATTATTCAGAGACTATTTTCTCACTGATTTATGACTTTATAATCTCAACGTATGTCAGATATTCTACATTTGCAGATTTGAGCTCAGAAATTCTAAGTAAATGTAAAAGGCTTTGAGTAAAAATGTACTTTGATAAAAGTCAAAGTAAGTCAGTTAAACTGTTGTCACGAGGTAATCTTGGAATTCAGACAATTAAGCCACTTAAACCTGTGATGACATAAGACTTAAGAGTCTCTAACGGTAACTCTAGTTGTGATAATGTCGGCTCCACAGATCTACCCAGCTGTGACCGGATACATTTTTATTTTTCATTTAGTTTTGACTTATTTGATTTTTTATCAGAGAAAATATTTTTCCCTTTTCCATCAGTAGTAGCACAGCTAGTCTTTCTTTGCTATGAATCACAAATGAGTGCAGCAGCAGCAGCAGCAGCACAAAGATACAGTAAGAAGCTGTGTGTCTGTGTAAAACACTCCACTAAATCATGGCCGGACTCTTGTGCTCAGACTATTCCAGGGAATGACCAAAACACTAAGCAACAGCTCAAGAGGGGTTCCCATGCCCAGAGCCTGTGAATATTGATTAGCAGCGGCAGAATAATCAGGCAGCGTGAGGGGCAGCATGTGAGCGGGGGGCCTGGAGCCCAGCGCTGGTGTGCAAGGCGTGCAGCCGAAAGCACCTCATGGGTGGGTGGGTGGAGGAGGAGCAGGTGGGTGGATGTAATTGGCAGCAGAGAGCCCACAGTCACGTCTCCTCTCTCCCACCTCGTATACACCAGCTGCTATGCTGGTTTCTCGGTTCCTTCTACTCACCTTTAGTGCATCTCTCTAAAAATGGCCTCTTCTCTTGCTCCCACCCTCTTCTCTTCTCTCATTGACCACCGCGAGCAGCCATTGATCTCTCCGCTAATTAGAAAACAGCACAAGAGCACGCAGGTTATTGACCGCGATGCGTGATTTAATATCAGCGTGCTTTATTTTCTTTAATCACTGCTGCACATCATTTTAACGCCACGTATCATACACGACCGTGTGCTTGCTGTGCTGCTTTTGAATGCGTGTTAAAGTGACAAGAAGAGAGAATGTGTTGCAAGTAAAGTCTCATTTGATGCCGAGCAAGTTGTAGAGCCCTTAATCGCCTGCTGCAGAATGAAATCGGTCGGGTGCTTCGTGGTCAAAGAAACCAGATCCTTGAGGGCAGATGGGTTGTGCCTCCCTTTTTATCGTGAGTAATGCCATTAATTCCAGCGGTAATGACCAGAACGATGATTGAGAACTGTGGTGCGCTGCTGCAGGTCAATACTCGCTGCATTAGGAAGCATGGTGCTGATTACTAACTAAACTCTGGTGATTGTACCTGAGATGTAACCTTACCCCTGACCTCCACCTCAAATCAGCTCCTAAATGAAATTATAAATAGTTCCTGGAGTAAATCATCATTCCTCATAACCGCTTTTCATTCCAGCTCCATTATTTATGAACCCGCAGTCTTACAGGCTCAAGTCCGCTCTGTTAGTTCTGTTCTTTCTTCTTCCTAAATCTCTGATGTGAATCAGCAGACGAGCAAACCTTCGGCCTCCAGTTAAACTCGTCGGAGAGCCGGACAAATATTATCTCAGGCTTTCCTGCGAGAAAAAGAAGAGGCGTGGAAGCTTAAAACACAGGGCGGCGACGCAAATGATGCAATGGCAGAACCTCACCCGCTGCCTGAAACAACACTGGGTCCAGTCTGCAGCTAGCGACGCCGAGACGGGACAACTTTCTCTCTACTCCTTGAAATAATAAACTCAAATGTCCCGTTGTTTCGTTCCTTATTGTTCATTTTAGTCCTTTTGTTTCCTCACATAAACCTGCTGAACTTCTAGAACACAGCTGGTTTTCCTCCATTGTTTCCTCCCCCATGTGCTGCTTTAAGTTCCCCTTACAGCTGCTTCAATTCATTGCTGTTTGATGTCATTGTCCTCTGCAGCTGAAGAAGCTTGTGTATGTGTACCTGGTGAGGTATGCAGAGGAGCAGCAGGATCTGGCTCTGCTGTCCATCAGCACCTTCCAGCGGGCGCTCAAGGTAACCTTTCTACATCCGGCTCTCTCTCTTCATTACCGCCAACATGCTCTTTCCGTCTAATCTAAACATTTTCTGTGAAGTGCTTCAGAAAACCTTCTGTCACACACTAACACACACTGTATCTTCGTGGCAGGAGCCAAACCAGTTCATCCGGGCCAGCGCTCTGAGGGTTCTGTCCAGTATCCGGGTCTCCATCATTGTCCCCATCATGATGCTGGCCATCAAGGAGGCGGCGGCCGACCTGTCCCCGTATGTCAGGAAGACGTCGGCCCACGCGATCCAGAAGCTCTACAGGTAACACTGCTGTGCACCCGACGACAGTAGCTGCACCCGTCGGCTCACCTGGCTCTCCTCACCGGCTCATTCCTGAGCAGTTAATCCAGTAAATGTCGGCTCGTGTTGATACAAGGGGCTTTGCCCTGCAGTTATCTCGCTCTTATCAGCCGAGTCTCAGTCAGACTGGCATGAGTCAAAGAATGACAGAGTGCTTCAAATATGAGCAAAGCAGTAAAACTGAACTTGACTGGATCAGTTATGTATCTGATTTAAACGGTTGATATCAGGACGAGAGCCGTGTCTGTAATCTCACCTTTTTATTATGTAGTGCACTGTATTTATTCTTATTTTAGTGGGATGCAACTAAGGAGTGTTTTCATTATCGATTTAACGGCTGATTATTTTCTTGATTAAACGATTGGTTCCCACTATACATTCGTCCAAAGAACAATATGTGATGTTTTTAAATTGTTTGTTTTATTAAACCAACAGTCTGAAAAACCTCAAATATTCAGTTTAGAATCAGATATGACAAACAAAAGCAGAAATCACCACAACCAGTGAATGTTTGGACATTTTGTTTTCTGTGAAATTGAACCGTACAACACCCCACCTGTCAGTTATGATGCAACATCTGGATGAGTCCCACGTGTCCGAAATCTCAATTTATAGCCCACTAAAGACCAAGGCACTGGTTCCCAACCTGGGGGTCCCTGAAGGGTCGCTAAAGCTTCACGTGAGGTCACGAGGTTTTAAGAGATTTAAGACAATTTTTAAAACAATAAACAGTTCGCTTATATCTCAGCATTTTATTCATATTTGTCAAAGAAAATGTATTTTAAAAGTTTGGATCATTATTTCAGATATAAACTTAAATAAAACCCCACAGGACAAAGGCACGGTGAAGACCTGGAGCTTTATTCAGTCTTCCCTCTCAGTCCCTCTCAGAAAATCTATTTAAAATATGCAAAAATACAGACAAATAGTTTTCAAAGTTCCTAAAAATAACAAACTCATGATTGAAATGAAATAATCTCCTGAAAATTCATTGTTTCACACAAACTTCTCACATGAAACATTCATAAATTATATCATCACTTAGTCAGTTTGCTCGACATTAACATTCCTTAGTTAACATTTCGTCGTTCTCTCTCTCGTCCTCAGCCTGGATCCCGACCAGAAGGAGCAGCTGATCGAAGTGATAGAGAAACTCCTGAAAGACAAAAGCACAGTAAGTACAGGCTGAACCACACAGTAAACTACCTGCTGCACAACGCCGGCCACTGGAGGGCGCCGCAGTCAAGCCATTCTCCTCCCGGCTCTCCATCCCACAGCTCATTCGGCAATGCCATGGTTTGTTAACACCCACTTAAACCCACACATCTTCAGATGCTCCTTGTTAAGTGTCCATTTGGAGGGAATTTTCACACTGATGCTAGTGTCAGCTTAATTTTCTCAAAGGCCAACTTCTTCTTTTTTTTCCTTCTTCTCACACAACTGGACCGTAAAAGAGTTGGATTCTCAGATTCTGTGTTTCGGCCCCAAACAGCGGATTAGATGTCAGCAGGCAGCACGCTCATCTGAGGAGGTCACAGTGAATACTGAGCATGTAAATGCCACATTTCAAATAAGTAGACGTTAGGCGACAGAATGCAGAGTGGGCCTTGTTTGTACGTGCGAGTCATGCACAATTATGTATTCATAGCGTATACCTGTCATTATGCAAACAAAACAAAGCGGCTCAGGCCAAAGGGGGGGGTAGTACCAGATGCATAGCATATTTAGCCCCGGACGCTAACTAAGACAGATGACTTCTCCCCCTATTGGAGCTCACATTGTGAGGCTGAGGACACAGAGAGAGAGAGAGGGGGGGGGGGGGCACTATCATCACACGGACGCAAGAGCACCATCAGTCAGTGATGAATGGTGGAAAAACCAAACATGGTGGAAAGCAATGATTTCTTCTACATGATGCTGGGGCGACACTGTGCAGCATTAAGAAGATGGTCAGTGTTGTCGCCATTGTATTTATTTATTTATAAATGCTGATATTTCTATAAAGGATGCTCCTTCAGTGCTCTCATCACATAACAAAGGTCAGTTCACTGAGTCTGCACAGCCGGAGGAAAGCAGCTTTTCTAACGTCTTAAAGGGTTGTTCTCAGCGTGGGATTGCAGACTTTAAATGTTGAACAGAAGGCAGTGTGGATTAAATGATGCTGTGGGTTAGATTATACTGTTAACTTTTGCACATTCATTCGTCAATATTTTGCACATATACATATTTTCTCCTGAACGTCTTTGTATTCTGTATTTATGTTTGTTTGACTTTTGCAGTACTTGCTTTTTATTTTTCATTTTCTCTGACTAGGTTTATCGTTATGCACCAAAACAAAAAAGCAAATTCCTGATATGTGGAAACCTACTTGAGTTTAAATAAGAAATATCCCAACACACAGAATAGTGCACAATAAACCCACCCAGACAAACATAAACACGTACAAATATTTGTATACGATTAAATAAAAATAGATAAATAAATAAACAAAAGTGACAGAAAATATTCACATCTAACAAGTGTTTTGAGCTATAGCATGTGACTGAAGTTAAGTTATAATACGCTTGTATGAATTAACATTGCCAGTAATAAATAACTTGTAGATCAAGCTATTCATTAGCAGAGAATGAAGTCACTCTCCCTCTGAGTGTTGTGAGCCGCCATGTTGAGAGCCGTGTGGAGGCAACAGATATTCAGTTCCATGAAGAGTCCGATGTTGAGTTGGAAGTTGCGTTCTACGTGCTGCATACTAACTACTCAATCAGTCGCTCGCCATCGTTCCTCTGTCCAGCGGTTAATTATTTAAACCATCTGCTTCGCAGTCTCCCATTGGACAGTCTTAAGAGCCGCAATGCATTTTGGGTATTCCCTCACGGGTAAGCTCACGTCTCATTCTCAGAAATTCTTGCTAATCGATGCATTCCTTGCATACACAATATCCTCACAATATGCAGCTGGAACGCACCACTAACTCCATTACACGTCATTCTTACAATGAATATTATTTTAACATGCGATATCAAACACGGCCATAGTCCGAATGTTATTTATTACACCCAAACTTGTCCTGCTCCGAAAGAAATGCTGTTAAATTAGACACCTTACTGCCAGTTTACCCGACACCTTTATGTTTATAAAACAACCGTATCGCATGCTAATGAATATTTTAACTGCAAAGCAGTGAATTAATTTAGGGAAATGCTAGTTAGCTGATGTCACCGTGCTGCCTGCAGAAGAAGGAAACGTCTGGTTCTTGGTCCCGTCCGTGTCACCGTCCGGGCCTCCTGACATTTACCTTTACAGATGTGCCTGTTTGGTTAAATGGCTGTGACACACTGCTCGCTGGTTTAAAGAGAAAATGGGAAGGCCTGATGACAGAGACAACACAGGCGTTTGTGCAGCTGTTTTACCGTGATGGATCTATTATCCAGCCATTACAAGATAAATGATCGATCCCTCCCACCGCCACACCCCCCCTGCACCTTCTGCAAAATTGAAATGAGAACAGAAAGGAGGAGCGGGGGACGGGGGGTGTAGTATGATCAGGGGGCTAGGTGAGATGCCCATTAATTTAAGAGGAAAAGGAGGGAGGAGGAAGAGAGCAGGAGCGAAGGGAGGATAGGCCGACCCCGCGCCGCGCCATCAATCAACAAGGCGCACGTTGTCTCTGGCGTGATGACCCAGCACTCTCTGCCTCTCTGCCACCCTAATTAGAATTCATAGCAAAATAGATGCAAGGAAACGGTTTGGGCCCCTTCATAATTTTATAGGAAATTTATTGTTATTAGAAGAACCATTTGCTTAGTGTGATTTTTCCATTACCGGCTTGTCACGCAGGGTAGATAATATGGTCGGGGAGGGAGAGGCGGTGTATGAACTCCTTAGATTGGGGTGTCAGTTTTGTTGATGGTGCATGTAGTTTACCTTGGAGCTGTGTCTAATGGGGGAAGTTGGTTGGAGAATGCACAAAGCCTTGCAGCAGGATACACATGCTCAGAAACAGTGCTCCCTGTAATAGCCTTAGAGACAGCAGAGGCCTTGGGAGAGTAAAAATACACGGCGCCGGTACATGCTGAATATATACAGTACGTGTATTATAATTGACTGCTTTGAGTGTGTTTATCTACAGCCTCAAGCTGCTGTGAAGCTACTTTAACATGGAGATGTACATCAGTCCCTGAAAACACTATTTTATTGGAAATACTTTCTATTAGAACCCTATAAAAGCGGTGAGTGGAAGTGGACGTAGTTGTGACGTCACCCATTGGTTTGTGGACTGCGGTTTTGAAGCCTTGAGTTCGGCATTTTGTCCGTTGCCATCTTGGCTTTTTGCAACCAGTAAACAGGAAGTGACCATATTTGGACTGAGGAGGAGTGACGTAGAGACGCCGTATACGTCTCTGGTTGAGACCTGTCAATCACCGTGTAGCCCCGCCCTAAAGCATCCCCTGCTTTATGGTCTGTTTGACTCTAAATGGACCATAATGTACTGAATGAACATCATGCTGTATTGAAGAAGACTTGAAACTAGAGACTGAGACCATAAACTCATGTTTACAATGTTTACTGAGGTAATAAATCAAGAGAGAAGTAGTCATTTTCTCATAGACTTCTATACAACCAGAGGAGTCGCCCCCTGATGGACACTAGAGAGAATGCAGCTTTAAGACGCTTCTTAATTTGACTGTTTGAGTAATATAGTATTCACCAGGTCCATGAAATTGTCACACTTGCTTATTTAGGGTCAAAATGTCTGCTGTGAAAAATGTCTCTAGAGGTGAGAGTTGACTGTTATTTCTGTGTAATTTTGCTGAACTCATCTAATCCACGTTTTCTACTCGAACCAACAGAAAACGATATCGTGTACAGCATCCCTCTGCTCGAGTTGGTTTCTCCCCGATTGATCCAGATATTTACAGAAACTGAATACAGTTTATTTTCCAAAGAAAGACTGCACTATTCCTTTCCCTGAAACATTACGTATCCTGCTCGACACAAACAGAATAGATAAAGAATACTAATTACAGGCAGCTTTAGGCTACTGTGATGTTTGTACTCATCATGACATAAACCGCATGTCCTCACATTAATATTACTAATGGATGCAGAGGCAGTGCCAGTGTACATAATTGCAAATCTCCATTCAGGTGATACTTACAAATCTGATTATTTATTTAATATTCTTAGTAGCTGACGAGATGTGTTGGCTGTCAGTAGATAAGCACTCTGTTGTAGTTTATTAGGTACACCTAGCTGAAACTAATGCAGCCTAGAACAACGATGAATGTTCATTCAACATGTTGATTCAACTGGAGGATCATTTAGGAGGACGTAGTTTGTGGTGCTGATGAACTATAATGCATTATACAGAGATGTATTTCTGTTATTTAGCCCGCTCTCATTGATATAAATGGGTTGGACATAATATTACAAACACCGCTCACTAAGAGGCAACGTAATTTAACAAAACGCAGCCTCCAGAAACCTCTCTGAAACTCGTATGATAATGAGACCGTTGCTGGATCTGCAGAACCTACGAGTGTCTTTGTTAACATGTGACTTTCTGTGGGTCACTAGAGGAATGTAACTTCATACATCAGAGTGAAACCATAACATGTCGTCGTTTGATCCTCCAGTGATCCGTTCAGCAGTATTAGTGTGAGAACGTCACTCGGTTTTAAGGTCCGGTTTTAAGGTCTCAGAGAATCTACAGACAGCAGCCGTGCACACACAATCAATGCAGGCTCATGACAATGCTGATGGGTAAATGCACCGGTTCTTCTTCTTCTTCTTCTTCTTCTTCTTCTTCCGAAGATAATTGTGTTTACATATTAATACGCCGCCATGTCACTCACTCAGTCTCACAGACAGTCGTGTGTGTGTTTTGTACCTGAGGAAAAAAAAAATATAATTTACGGGAAGAATATGAGAACCACTCGTTGATGGATTTCTTTCATCGTGTAAAATAAGTGAGTTAAAACTTTAAGCGCTTCCTTCTAAATATCAGCTAACTACTCGGAGGCTGAACTGTGTGTATTGTAATCAAAGTGGTAAATTGGTATTTTCTAAGTGCTATAATAGTGTTGTTTTCTTTACCGTGGTCATATCTGTGAACCAGCTTTTTATTCCTCTAGAGTCTTTATATTACAGCGTTTTTTAAGAGATAAAGTATTTGTTCAGTTTGTCAAACAGAACAGCTTCACATCCTTTAAACTTCCATTAAGTGTTAATGCTGGAGAGAAATAAACACAAAACAGCAGCGTTTCCCTCACGAGTCGGCTTCCCTCTCTGTTCTTCTTCCTCGTTCTCTGCAGCTGGTGGCCGGCAGTGTGGTGGTGGCCTTTGAGGAGGTGTGTCCAGACCGCATCGACCTGATCCATAAGAACTACAGAAAGCTGTGTAACCTGCTGGTGGATGTGGAGGAGTGGGGTCAGGTGGTCATCATCTCCATGCTGACGCGCTATGCCAGGACGCAGTTCACCAGTCCCTGGAAGGAGGTGAGGCGACTAAAACCAGAGCAGACCCAGACCCATAAAGTGGCAATATACCGTATATGTTTACTTCTTATATTTAGCTCACTATAACCTGCTGAAAAACACTGTTTTTAGTGTGATGTATTGTGACTCTTTTGTGCGTCAGGGGGCCATGTTTGACGAGAACAACGAGAAGGCGTTCTATGAGTCCGACTCCGAGGAGAAGAAAGACCAGACGGAGGCAAAGCCTTACACCATGGATCCAGATCACAGACTGCTGCTCAGGAACACCAAACCTCTGCTGCAGAGCAGGAACACGGCTGTGAGTTAGCAGGACACTTAAACACAGACACACACAGTCGAGCCATTAGGAGCAGGTGTGTGTGTGTGTGTGTGCTGCTTTTTAAGCTGTCCGGAGGTATGAACATCGATCAAGGGCTCTGCTCGTATCTCAGCTCTGCCTCAGAGATAAAAGCTACACTAAAACTAGTTTAGTCCCGTATGGTCGTATAAACACTTTAAAACTCTCTTCCCCAGCAGTGATGCATTACAAGACACCTTTTCATACACAAATGCAACGCGCACACCTGGACACACATATAAAAACAGGATAATGCACACACACACACACACGCACATACCCGCTGTAGTGCAGGAAAATAAAAGCGATAACAAACATAGTGAGTGCAGATCTCCATCACCCTGGAGCCTCAAGGTCTCTGTCGCTGTGTAGCAGCGGCAGGAAAAATGCTCCCAAATGAAAGTGTTGATTAAAATGTGACACTCGACAACACGATGACGTCCTCCATCTTCATATAGATGAACCCTCTCGTTCTGCCTGCAACGATGGACACACGTCCGCCTGCTATTCAAAGCCCCGCTGAAAAATCACCTTCATCGAGTCGTCGTGTCGTGGGCGCCTTTTGTAGAGGAATGCATGTGAAGGAATTTTATTTCAGCTCGGATAGACGGGCGGAAAAGAAACCAATGGTGGTGTAATAACAACAGTAGTAATAATAATAATAGAGCACTTTTAGGGATGTATAAAAAACATAAAATCAAGTAAAAGTAACATGTAAAGTTGACTAAAAAGCAAAAACACAACCTATAAGCAGCGGTGGAATTTAACTAAGTACATTTATTCTGAGTTACTTTAGTATTTCCATTTTATGAAACTTTATACTTCTCCTCCACTACATCTCAGACACTTTTACTGGTAGTGGAGTATTTATACAGAGTAGTATTAGTACATTTACATCAGTAAAGGATATGAATACTTCCTCCACCACTGCCTACGAGCTGTAAAATGTTTTTCAGAGGGATTAGAATATGTTCCGACTGTGTTGGTGTGTTCTAGGTGGTGATGTCCGTCGCTCAGCTCTATTGGCATTTGGCTCCTCAGCATGAAGTCAACATTGTCACCAAGTCACTGGTTCGACTACTAAGAAGCCACAGGTAATGCAAAAACACATCAAATATATACATATATGAATGCTGCCTTCTCCTGAGTGAGCTCTGATGACTGACCGTCTTTTGACACACGTCTTTTGAGTTCACGTTGTCGACGTCTGAATGTTTTCTCTCTCTCGTGCACAGAGAGGTTCAGTACATCGTGCTGCAGAATATCGCCACGATGACCATCCAGAGGAAGGTAAGTCTGCTCGTGGACAGCAGGACTCTAATGGTGCCGTGGTGCTCTGACGCAGGCTCCTCTAATAACATGAGTTCTCTCCAAACAGGGGATGTTTGAGCCCTTCATGAAGAGTTTCTATGTGAGATCTACAGACGCTACGCACATCAAAACACTGAAGGTAAATACTATCACATATGATGAATGAGGGTCAATAAGATTTTGAGCTTGTGAAATGATGTTTAGAAAATAATTTCACACCTTATGGTTGCGTATTATCCTCTTTAAACCTCTGGGGGGAAACAAGCTGCAGGATAATTTCAGGTTTGTAGACAACAGATTGGTTGTGGTAGAATAAAATGCATGAATTATATCAACTGTGAAGTTGCACAAAGAACTGCTGTTATGAAGCGAGTACAGATTCATAACTGCACAAAACTCTTCTTCCATCGTGACACCGAAGTTACTCTTACATTTAAGTTAAATGTACAAAACCGAGGCTGAACGTGGAACAGTTCAGCTTTCTGGAAGCAATACAGCTAAAGTAACGTTTATGGAAGAGTGTGGACATTTTATTAACTCTCCCCTGTGGTTCTTGTAGCTGGAGATCCTGACCAACCTGGCCAATGAAGCAAACATCTCCACTATCCTGAGGGAGTTTCAGGTTTGTGTTTAGTCAACCTTGAGAAAATGGCATTACTCTTCCTGTGTGTGACTTTTAACCAGTTTTCCTTTCCTCACCCTCCTTCTCTTGTCTTTTTCTTCAGACCTACGTGAAGAGCCAGGACAAGGCGTTCGCAGCAGCCACCATTCAAGCCATCGGCCGGTGTGCCACCAACATCTCTGAGGTGACCGACACTTGTCTCAACGGTCTGGTGCTGCTGCTTTCCAACAGAGACGGTAAAAAGCCTTCACTGACAACAGATATCTGTGTTTGCCTTCCTCTGTATATTATAGGGATAGTTCAGATCTTTTTGAAGTGGGGTTGAATGAAGTACTTATACATAAGTCGGTGTATTACTGCAGTAGATGGCGGTCGGCACGCCCACAGTTTGGAGAATCGGTACAGAAGCTAAGGGGTCAGCAGCAAAGCGTGTTTTAGACACCTAAACTCTCTATCAGTTTGTGTGTCTGTATTTAGAATATTTAGCTGTCTGAGAGCCCTTTCAGACGGGGAACTGAAGCCGTTATCTTTGCCCTCACAGAACACGTGAGTTGCTGTTCTACCGCTGCCTCGATCGGTTAGTTTGTTTGTGTTATTGTGTGACTTTTCTGAATCCAAACCTAAAATACCAAAGTCAAAAAATATCACAAACAAACTAACCGATCAAGACAGCGGTACACCAGCAACTCTCGTTTTTAGCGAGGTTAAAATGACTGTTTTTGTCCAAGGAGTCTTGTGGCTTTGAAGAGAGCACCTCTCCTCATACGTACCTCACACTACCCTGCTTCAAAACATCCAAACTCTCCCTTCATGGTGCTGTGATTGTCTGTCTTTCTATGAGAACTTCCTGTCTTGTCTTTGCAGAGACGGTGGTGGCGGAGAGCGTGGTGGTGATCAAGAAGTTGCTTCAGACTCAGCCCACCCAGCACAGTGAGATCATCAAACACATGGCCAAGCTCTTCGACAACATCACGGTGCGTTTCGTCCTTGTATCATTCAACACGAGAGTTTAGACAGGAACAAATGCTCAAACGTGTTATGCATGTAATCTGAGTAACTGTTGTATTTGTCCCCTGAACTTGCAGGTCTCCATGGCTCGAGCCAGCATCCTGTGGCTGATGGGCGAGTACTGCGACAGGGTGCCAAAAATTGCCCCCGATGTGCTCCGTAAGATGGCGAAGACTTTCACGGCAGAGGAGGACATCGTCAAGCTGCAGACGGTCAACCTAGCAGCCAAACTCTACCTGACCAACTCCAAGCAGGTACATTAAATACCAAGAGACATTTTAATGTGTTCACCCGAACATTGAGCAGATATGGTGCTGCAGTCACGCTACTGATGTCCGCAATTAGCATTTGCATGATTAAGTATTAAAAAAGATTCCTGTTATCTAAATATGGATTTCATTTTTATTTCACAAGACACGGCGATGTCTCAGAGCTAAATGTTCACACTTCTGCAACCTCGGAGCTAAATGCTCAGTTTAAATACAGAGCCGTGAACGAGACAGCTTTAACGTAATGGAGCATCTCCGAGCGCCGCTCTGTGTTTACAGGCCCATTCGCTGTGATGGGGGTGATTTTGGCCTCTGAGCCGGGTTTATGAGCCCAGACGCTGCCTCCTCAAACGAGCACATCATTACACCTCCTGCTCCTCGTAATGTGTCGGCGGAGGAGAGAGAAGGAGACGCAAAAGACAATTCAGGGTTCTAATGCTGCTGTTTTCATGTCTGCCTGAATATATATGTCACTGCAAGTCCTCCGTCTTTATGTAGAGGAAGAGTGGACCAAAATGTGTGAATGAATGATTTATTGATTTTTGGGCATGGGAACGAGTATTGTTGATTTAATGAGATTTTTTACTTTACTTTAAGCAAACAATGACCACTTGGAGTAACTTACAATCACATGATGATGCATGACAAAGAAGGTTAGAATTATAATACTTTAAAGCATTATGGATATTTATGAGGGCTTATATCTGTATATCATACAGTGTTATAAGCAGATTATAAATATGTTTATAATGCTTCATGGACATGGGCGTCATAGAAAGTGTGTGTATCTTGTGATGTAGTGAAGTTGTAGTTTTTTGAGGAATTAAATGCTGCAGCTAAAATGTCGATCTATTCTTCTTTAAAGAGATTTCTTTCTGCTCTACTGAATCAGTTTCATAAACAACCGATCTTTTATCGCTGTCCCCCCCCCCCCCCCAGACTAAGCTGCTGACCCAGTACATCCTGAACCTCGGCAAATACGACCAGAGCTACGACATCAGAGACCGAACCCGCTTCATAAGGCAGCTCATAGTGCCCAACGAGAAGAGCGGCGCCCTCAACAAGTACGCCCGGCGCATCCTGCTGGCCCCCAAACCGGCCCCGGTGCTCGAGTCCGCCTTCAAAGGTACTTCATACACCGACCTGTTATTCTTATCCTAGCACATATTAAATCCTCTAAATAGGTTGAATATTTCAGATTGAATACCTTTCCTCCCCTGTTTGGTAATCCATCTAAAGCCCATCACTGAATCCACATTAGCTGGACCTCTATTTCACATTTATTTCCACTCGTATGTAAAGTTGATTCAGGCGGCGGTTTTATTATTCTGGTGTGTCTGTCTCTCTGAAGGGCAGTTAGGTCAGACCCCTTTACCTTGGACTAATGAGATGGGTAAATTATTGAGCTAATGCTAACCTTTTTCAGACACTCGGAGGAAAAAAGATCTCCCTCATTTAGCTGTCTCCTCTCTCTCTCTCCCTCTCCTCTCTCTCTCTCCCTCCTTGACAAAAGGGACAGAAACTGCCTCCCACAACATTAGAATTCAGAGGCGGTTTGCACCGACTGGATGTTTATGGAAAGCGGTAACCACCCCTGTCATTCTTAATATTCACAACTGAACGCTATTTTTTCTCTTTTTGGTTTGCAAAGCACAGTTTTTAGAGCACACCTCCCAAAGGCACAGACACTGATTATCTTCCTGCATTAGAGAGAGAGGGAGGGAGAGAGAGAGGGAGAGAGAGAATGTGTGTTTATGTGCACGATAAAACAGAGAGCTGATATTAGCATCATGTGGATGCATCTTCTATTAAAGATCTCTAAATGTAAACAGTGACATTAAGCCACTGGGTCCAGACTTGGGTGACTTTGAATCATCTTCTATTTGCTGAAACTTTTAGTTTATTTTCCGTTTCTTTAAAATGACCTCCCCTCTTGCCTTTCACCTCTCTCGTTGTTTGTCAGATCGAGACCGTTTCCAGCTGGGCACTCTCTCCCACAGCATCAACAGTAAAGCCGCCGGATACCAGGAGCTCTCCGACTGGCCAGCTGTTGCTCCTGACCAGTCTGTGAGGAACGTGGAGGTCATTGAGCCAGTAAGAAGTCCACCTTGCTGACATACTAACAATCAGGGTTTTACTTATTCTACTGATTCTCACCACGTTCTCTCTCCGTGTCTCTCATTATGCCTGACAAACATTAATGAGGCGACACTAGGGCTTCACAATATATCTTTTCAGCATCTTATTTAATTGTGCCCGACAGCTTTTGAGTAACTTTGCTGAAAGCGACCAGCTGTTTTAGAGAGTTATTAGTGACCCAGATTTAAAGATGTACTTCTTCAGGCGGCACCAGTGGGCTCAGAGCAGAGAGACACAAACAGAGACGTCACCAAATATTGACAGGCGGACTAATGCATTGTTGGTTTTCATGGGATTTGTTGACGTTAAGAGGAAATATAGAATAACAGAACATTGAAATGTAAAACACACAGTAGAAAATACACAAAGAGGACGTAGCAATGACAACAATGAACAGAAATGTACAAATTAACAGATCGAATGATTAGTGGGCCAAAGAGGCCGGAGAATGAAGATGTGTCTTTAGTCCAACCTCTCAAACCTGCCGGTGGGTTTTGGGGTTCAGAGGTTTAACTCTGAGGTTTCTTTGCTCGTGACTTGACATACGAGGTGAGGTCGGTTAGCTCACAGACGAGACGGCGTCTGAACTTAGACCAAAGATCATAACTTCAGGTTTGGAGCTGAAGCTGAAGGGAATGTTGAGCCTAGACTCAGAAGAGTTAAAGAAGACCTCAACGCTTTAGTGTGTAGTTTGACTGACGAGAAGCCTGATGCACTATTCTATTCTGCACACTTATATTATTACTTATGTTTGAAAAAGACCTTCACTGGCCGACAACATGACCATTCCAACCTGCTTTTGTTGTGTGTGTGTGTGTGTGTGTGTGTGTGTGTGTGTGTGTGTGTGTGTTGGAGGAATGAACATTCATTCCTCCGTTCCATTCGGCCCAAAGACTTTTTATAAGTTTAAGAACAAAAATTACAAAATCTAAAGAGCTTTGTTTTTCAGCGAGGGATATTATTGATTCTCTTTTTTTCTCTGAGCACCAGCTTTATAATCGTTACTTTGTGGCAGCTAATGGGGATCCAAATACAACAATAAACAACAATAAAGCAGAACACACGAGCACTTTATTCCCAGTTTTTAATATAGGGTTAATTTATCAGAAACGATATCTGGTAACGTGGGAAATCTGTGTTGTCCTGATTGACTTAATTGAGTTAATTGACTTATTCTATTACCTCTTAGTGAAGCGATTGAGAGGTGTTCATATCCACTATAACGTCTACATGCTTCACTCTTTGCTTTGTGTGAACAGTTGAGTCTGTAAGCAAATCAGTTTTCTTCACATTAAACAACAACAAAGCAAAAAACTATTGATCAACACCACTGAGTAACTTCTTTGAATGATTTGACTTAATTGACCCTCACTTCCCTCGGCTATTTCTGATCAGGTGCAAGAGTGGGCACCGTTAGTTGGGAAGGCCAAGAAACCCAAATCCACTGAGAAGTTCTACTCGGATGATGAAGAGGAGAAAGAAGAGGAAGGATCAGAGAGCAGTGAAGGCGGCGACAGCAGCAGCAGCAGCAGCAGCAGCAGCAGTAGTGAAGGTTTGTCTTTGTGTTTTTGTCTGACAGATAGATGAACGTCGTGCTGTTAGTGAGTTGAAGTTAAAATCCTTAAGATTTCTGCTTGATTTGATGACACCGGTGGTCACTGATGGTAACGGCAGGTACAGTTTAACACTACATGTCCCAGAATTCAAAGCAGCAAACACTCAGAGAGCAGCTACTTTGTGTATTTCTATTGATGTGATTTATAGTCTTTCACAAAAAAGCACATAGGAGTTGGTTGCCTTGCTGAGGATTTTACTTGAAGATAAAATTACAAACAGTAATGCTGGATTGTGTGCATGCCAAATTTTTTTTGTGTGAATGCAGTTTGAATCCTGGGTTAGAGTGGCGTACCCCGCCACCACCAATGAAAACTACTAGAAGTGATTACAGAATGTAAATACATTTAAGGGCTTTTGCCAACCGTAAAAGTTTCTCAAAAAACAGGGTCGGATTTTGTGAAAATACGAGACTCATA